CTCTTGGTCAATCCCGTTTACGTATCGCAGAATACAGTCCATATCAAAGTCAACCCAACAGTGCACACCCACACAAGCAGAATCTAGGTCAAACTGTATAATCTATGGCAGCACAACGTAGTTTATCGCAACAGAATTTCGTTTGCCATTTCTAATAAAGCCATGTAAGGATTATTTTGCACAACTTGTACAACGGTACAACCCAATCACATCCATGATGGAGGATTTTTTGTTTGCCCGAATATGCACAACTCCTCTGCTAACGGGTCTCTACAGTCGGTTTGTTGTCGACATAGTGGACGACAACGGCTTTGTATATCGTGGATACGTCTGCGGCGTGGAGAATGATCATTGCTGGGTGCGAATCGGCTGCTTGCAGCAGAAACTGCAACTGATACCCATGAAAAAGTTGAGTCGGGTGGGCTTATCCGGACAGCATGCCGATTACAGCATCCAGGAGACGGAAATCGCCAACCCAATCGATGTCCTGGTCAGTGTCGATGAGGATCATCCGGAATCCTGGCAGCCGGCTAGTTCCGCCTATGCTTACGGCTATCCCTTCTTTACGCTGCTGAATCTCGAGGTTCTCCTGAATGACACAATCAAACGGTACCGCGTGCTGGACGGTGGCGACGCCGCCCTGAAGCGGGTTCGTCGGAGCGGACCGCTGGGACTGCCCGTGACCCGGGAGTCTTTTCGCCGCGTGCTCATCCCATTTAGTCGGTTCAGAAAGGAAATTCCCGATATTGCGGAGGTGCTGCAGCGCATCCAGGACATGCCCCACTTTCGCAGTCTCTTCCTGTGGCGGTGCGGTGTGGGTAAAGCGGTGATGTTTCTCGGGGTGGAGGATGAGTGTGTGGCCGTGTTAGCGGCGAAGGGTCGTGGTACAGGCCCCCGGGATGAGGACATCGTCAAGTACGCGGTGTACGCCGTTAAGCGTTGCGTGACAGCACTGACCAGGAGCGCCCCGAAGACCGTGGCCAGAATGCTGGATAAACTGGTCAGCGTGGTTGGGGGCATGGAGCGTAAGTAAGCAGTGTCAACTGCACACAAGGTTGGCTTAATTACGACGTTATATAATTCGATTTCGGTGTTTAAACACTGTGCGATGCAGGTACTTAAAAAGTGTGTACTAGCTAAAACTCGAGTGTGTAAATGATGGGGAAATCTGCGTTACATGCAAGATTTCTGAAACATTCTCCGTTTCAGTACAATTTGTACTTATGTACGCCCATTGTAGACCTGGACGACCCATGTGAATTACACTATAGTGACATGCCTGCGGAGTTGCACATGGTTGTATTTTCCTATCTGGATGCCTTTGATCAGTATCAGATTCGCAGGTACGATATTTGGATGATTTTCTTGTACTCGTAGACATTCGTACGTAGGCGTACGCAGTGAGCTCTATCACATCTGGCTCACTGGCTGGATTGTTGGCCGACAATTCGCTCTTCTATAATTTCATTGCCTGATTTTTCCCAGCTACTTCGTTGACCAATGACCAATGTTGAACCGCATGTTTATCGGTCTTTGTTATTGGGTTTATTGTTCATTCGTATTTTTTCTTGCTGAGTAATCTTTTCTTGTATTTTTATGGGTTCCTGGATTGCTTAGGTTTTCTTAGGTTCTTCGCTTTCGTAGTAGTTTATTTAAATTTCTTAGGTTTCCTGAGATTTCATGGGTTTCTTTGCTTCTACGCTTCTTAGACGTTTTAAGTGGGTTTTCTTAGTTCTTTTTGGTTTTAAGTGGGTTTTCTTAGTTTTTTTTGTCATCAGAAAATGTCTTCAACAAAAATGTCGTATTTAGCAAAACTATAGTTCAGCAACCTGTCGACCATCAAGTTGTCGGTTTCAACAATAAATTGTCGAGTAAACTGGCCAGCAAAAACGGCGTCAGTAAGACAATGGTATGGCGTGTTGCGGCAGCTAAAACTCAAGTTGTTGTCGGTCAGACTGGCCGACAACAACTTGTATTGGCAGTAAGGCCGAGTCCGACTCGGCCTTACTGCCATTACATTACAGTTATTTTTGTTACGGCTAGTACGGTATCCAGATTTCTTTGCTTTCAGAACGTGTAAATGGTTCCGTCGTGTATTAAGTTCTGAGCTAATCCAACAGTGTCTGATCCTACCACGTCAATCCCTGGATGTCCTCGATGCTCTAAAACTGTTCTCACGGCAGCAGTGCGCCCACTTTATCGGCGACCGCGCTACGATACTGTACGTGCTATGCAGCACGGTAACCACCCACACCAGAATCCTTTACCTCATTGGTAACTGGGAGCTATGCGTGCACTACCTGGCCAACGTTATTCTGCAGTTTCTCAACGTCAAACTCGACTGGCTGATCATCGCCGACAACACCGTCCTGACGTTCCACGAGTTCCTCGAATTCCCTAAACAGTCGCCCATGCTGCATACGGAGGACAATTTCCTTACATTCCAAGCCACGCTTCAGCCGGTGCCGGATTACGCCAGCGTAACGCGCCACATCGTGCTGAAGAATTGCTGCTTTGATAGCCGGCACTCCATCTGCTTCATGGTCTTCTCGTATAAATGGCACGAAGACAACCGCATCCGTCCCGTGCGGCGCGGTCGGTCCCTGGCCTGCTGTCATGCGCCGTTCCGTGTGGTACTTCCGTATTGGAAGTACAGTTTGACGGATTCCGCGTCCACGCTGGCAGCGGACTTTCTGTCCGCGTTGGAACAGCGGTGTCCCGCACTTCCCGATCATAAAATCCGAGCCATGCTAACCTGGATGAATTCGCTGACGGATGATGATGTATATCACAAATACTACGGTGTCTGGCCGTTTTTCGTGCTGTGTTATGAGCTGTGAGTGCCGACAAATGTATCTGTTCTGCAGAAGCTTATCACGACAATTAAGGTGATGTGATAACGAACAGAACGATGAAGTAATATTATTCTGTAGGTGGAAGAAAAAAAAAGAAAAGCCCAAGAACTTCGAAGAGGTTATGAAGGACGTGGCTACTAGGTTACCGGCGAGGAGTTTGCTTATGCTAACACTCGCCTTGTTAATGCCTTTCCCGGAAACGTCTGCATAAAGTAGACTCAGCCTGAAAGATTACGTCAAAGTTTTCGCATGTCAGAGGAGCACATATTTTTTTAACAGCACATCAATGCAGGTGGCGTCTGTGGTGACGAAACGTATTCTGGTTGAACATCAAATCATTCAAATGTCACAGGTGGTTTAGCATTTAGCTGCTCTTGTTTTACGTTGATGTTTACGTCAGGCTTTAAATTTACCGTTCTTATGAAAACAATGTCCGTTTATGATTAGTAAGCGATTATTGCCGATCAGCAGTACAGCACATATTGCGGCTTGCAGGCAGCAATCACTAAAGATGAAGTTGGTTGTATAAATTATTGTGGCCGCCGCATACATCTAGGGAACAGTTAGTATACGTCTGTTTTCTGGACCACAATGAATGCAAATTCGAATTCTATTCTATTCGAATTCTATTCTTTGTCGTCTTCCATACTTGCTCTGCCATTCAAAGGAAATCCAGACGATCGACATTACAACAAGTTGCGATATTAGGCAGTTTGCCAGGCCCGTATCTACGTCTATGACCTTTACAATGTCCCGCAACAGCGATGTTTAGTCGTTTAATGTAAAGCTGTGTTCTGCACAAATCGTAAAATGAGAATGATTGCAGATCTTCCGTCAGAAGCGCACTGCCACAAAACGAGACGGTCTATTCACGTGCCAATGCATACAGTTCACAACATTTCCAACGACATTCCTCTCCGTTATCACACTTTCCAACATACCACCCAAGACTATCGGTACATTTCCCATGGCAGATGAAAGTCAGTTAGACAATAGCATGATCCACAGGCACACGCGCCGGTCGTGCGCATCCGCGCAACCACACGCGACTGGCAGCGCGTTGTTAGGTGAATACTTGCGGGATGGCTGTGTGCGCGGCAGTGTAGACAGCGGTTCAAGGTCTTTGTCGACGGATGCTTCTACTGTCCTGGGGCGCAACGGCACCAGTTTACGAGTACATTGACGAGTCAAGCCAAAGTGGAGTTTTTACCACATAGGAACACGTATAACCATTCCAGCGTTAGAGAATGACAGCCTGTAGTACTCGTATAACACAAAATACCCCTGCTTCTGCTTTTTGTATGTACAAAATTTATTAATTCAAAGCGTGTTAAACCGCTGTGTTAGTCCAGACTGAGCCGGCAGCAACGTTGTTAGAGATAGAATTTTTTTGCAGAATATATATCCCCAGCTCGCCATGCAGTGCATTCGCTGTGTTGTGGTTACAGCCATTTTTTTGTACAGCGGTGTTGCGCGAATGGTTCCGGTCCATGCCCATGTGAACAGGGATAGGCGGACGACAAGGAAGACGTCGGTTGCAACTGGCACAGCCGCTGCAAAAACCCCGCACCACGCGGCGTCGACCAGCGGTAAAACAGCGAGGAAGTTGACGACAACGTCTACCACCGCAGCACCGGAAGCAGAGGAAACCATCGAAGCACCGAAAGCTGAGGAAGCCATTGAGGCAGTGGAACCAGAGGAAACCACGGCGGGCGCGGGCGGGGAGCCGTTCGGCCGCGGCGCCTATCTCGACTCCGAGGAAATGGATAACCGGCCCGGCAGTGCGCTCTTCTTTCCCTCGGGCACCGGCTCCATCAGCGTCCGCGTCAAAAAGACGCAGAACGCGGGACAGCGCTCTGCCAGTCCAGGAATATACGGACAATCCGCTGTCACTGGCTGATGATCCCTCTTCTGTTCTAATAAGGCCCTGCCGGTTTCAGCGCTATTCTCCTAAATGTAACAAGTTACTAGTAAGCGCATGGTTGTTAACTTTAACCTTGTATCCACAGCTTCTGCACCGGGTTTCAGTACGATTTTGCTGAATAGTGTGACAAAATCTGTGCAGTTTTTGTTATATTTCGTTCTCTTGCTATAAATAAGAAAGCAAAAAGCTGAGCAAAAGGAGACCGTTTTAATGCCCCACAATTACACAATTATATAATTATATAAAAACACCCACCTACACAATTATATAAAAATCACAGACGGGCCCAACCTTCAGCAAAAGCACATTAGCATCAGTATGCAAAAGAACTACCGACACCAGGACTACACCAGCCATATTACGATATAGATCCTGGGATAGATGATAGTGTCGTTCACACGGGCTTCAGTCTTTGAACCAACTATCAAGGGCCGCAATTGTCACACTGGGAATGGAGGCAATGTCCAGTTGTCGGAGATCCATCGTGTCCCACCGGTGCGGATTATGATCCACACGATGGCAGTTACAACTTCCACCTAATTAGGTAACAGAAATGGTTTGTGTATTTGTCGGGTACCGGTCTTGCGACAATGTCACATACAGCTATAGAAAACTGCGAATACAGCTCCGCTGATCCGGATAGACCAGCGCCCGCAACCAGCGCGCGTGCATAGCGATGACCTTTTCGTATAAATGCTGACCAACCGCCGGACAATTGGACCTGGCCGCTGCCAGCAACATCCGCACAATTGTTCCGCAGTCGACGGGGCGCCGTATGTCGGCCGTGGCTACCATCTTCCCTGTGTGTTGACATCTTCGTGAACGTGGCGGAGGAAGTTGACCTTTTGTAGAAACAGACCCATTGCGGCTGAAGACACGCGACAGGCCCATGCCTACCAGACCGGCTGCGTAGTGACAGTACTGACAAAAGTGCCGGCTTTCTTTCGTTATCGAACCTGGTCGAAATATTGGTGAGTGTCCACAGCGATACTGACATCCAGAACCTCAGCCGTACCCAATGCCACGCACTGACAACAACTGATGATGTGCTGGTACTTTCCCGCCGCACAGGGAACTGCACTGGGATCTGCAATCACACTGCCAAACCGGTTAATGTGCTGATTCCGAATTCACATACTGGTGCAATGTGCAAGCTTGTCCGGTAATTTCTGACGAATCAATACAGCGAAGTACACAAATTCACGACGTAGTGTAGTGGCAGCTGTCATAGCGCAAACTCCGCGCTAAATATCTGTTGCTTGTACCTTTACGTAGGAAATTACCAGACAAGCTTGTAAGTGTAATTTATTAGGCACAGCCGCACAGGTACAGTATGTGGTACTATCGCTAACCACAGTCATAAATAATGTACAGGACAACGGCGTTCTTGTCGTGAGTGTCGGGAATAGTTCCAATCGGGAATGTGGAGACGTAGGTGAAAGGAGCGCAGCAGCTAGCAAAATGCCACGACGCGACATGAGCGTCGTGGTCCTTAAATAATTTGCAACCAAGCTATAATACTGTATGTCAGTGATAAATCATGCAGTTGTGCTGGAACATGTTGCCATGCACCCGGACGCAAAATATTGTCATAAACGTGTGCAACAGCAAATTAACGAATGTGTGATGGTTAATTATTTTGAGCATCTAACACAGCAAATGATTAGCTATGCTCTGAACAGCCATGATGGGCGCAGCAAACTGCGGCTGGTCTGCTTGAGCACTCTGTAGCACATTTTCCGCTCGGCCGTCGTTCTTGTTCCGGATAATAATTCCGTTCCCAGGAAGCTCATCCGATAACGGTGAGTTTGACCAGCGAGAGTAATTCCAGCGGGTGTGGGAACGGTTCAGATATCGACGTTACGCCGATTTTCCACCACCGTCACTGCAAAATTGCAGTGAGTTTGAATCCGTACAGCACAGCACGCACTAGAATCCGTACAGCACGGCACGCACTAAGTGTGAGTCCGTACTACAAACTACAAAGTCGACGGTATTTATTCGGCAATGGCCAATTCAGATAACATTGAGCTTGCGCAGGTAGAAACAAACTACTTCAAATGATTCAAAATTTAAACAGGAAACAAAGTTACTATCTGTACACTTACTACAGTTCAGCAGATGAGCAGAATACCGTATCGTTCGTACGTACTCCGAATGATTTTGGCGATGATTGTCGGTGTTTTTTAACCGACGAAGGGAAAGTGGAGAATGCCTGCGGGATAGTTGTGTACGCGGCAGTGGAGACAGCGGTTCAACGCCTTTGTCAGCGACGGTACCGATTGACGGGTACATGAGGCAGGCACTCAAGCCAAAGCTGAGTGTCTGCTTTTCTCCAGATCGTGCACGCATAATCGTTCTAGCATTATAGAATGATAGCCTGTGGGATAATAGAAAATCATATCCGGGCTTCTGCTTTTCTTGCATTACGTTTGCAGCTCGTAACATCCCAATGCATGATCGCCGTTTTAGTAATTCTGAGCAGTATTCCGAATCCGGGCCAGCGGCAATGTCGTAACTGCAGTCCAGCCCCAAGGGAAAATAATTGTTACTAGATAAAGTATCCATGCATTTTCTTATTAAGGACCCAGTGCTCCTACCTGTACGTTCAATGCTAGCACAGCTCACATAATTAATAATAATTTAAAGCACGATCAACAGTTGTTCAGCTGCGCTAATCGAGGCTGAGCCAGCAGCAACGTTATAAGAATATATTGCAAACTGCAGTTCATCTCGCCGACTCGCCATGCAGTGCATCAGCGATATCGTGGTAATAGTCGTCCTTTTGTGCTGCGGTGTAGCGCCAACAGCACCCAATCCGGTGCATGCCGATAACGAAGTGGACGGAGATAAGCGGATGACAAGCAAGACGCCGGTTATTACTGGCGCAGACGCTGCACAAATCCCGCACCACGCCGCTTCGACAAGCGCTCAGCAGGCCAGGAAAAGGACGATAACGTCCACCACTGCAAAACCGGACGCTAGCACCGATGAAGAAATGATTATGACCACCCCGTTCCGTTCGGCCGCGGCGCCTTTCTCGAGACGATAGGTGACAGGCCCGGCAGCGAGCTCTTCTTTCCCTCGGGAGCCGGCTCCATCAGCTTCCGCGTCAAGAAACGCCGAACGCGGGCAGCATTAGACAAGTCCCGGATTATGAAGACGCTGCGCTACCACTGGCTGATAATCCCTCTCCGGTTCTGATATAATGCTCTGTTGATTATCAGTGTTGTACTCGTAAATCTATCAAGTTACCGCTAAACGAACGGTTGTTAGCCATACATAGGTCCACTCTCACACAGCAGCTGCACTGAGTTTCAGTAAGATTTTCTGGAATTGTGTGACAAAATCTGTTCAGTGTTTATTATGTTCTCTTGCTGTATATCAAGCAAAAAGCCCATTTTTAAAGCCCTATCTACAAAAGTATGGAAACCACAGAGGGGGACAAGCTTCTGCAGACCACTGCGCTTTTTATATGGACCTTGATATCAGATAGATGATAATGTTATTAGAAAGGTCGCGATTCGTCATGGCGTTCTTTTATTGACTGTCGAGGTGCTTTCCTCTGGGAATGTGGAGTTTCTTGTGGAAGGAGCGCAGCAGCGGCCGTTTGATGTCCAGCGGGATGCTTGTGTTGTCCTCCACGGACCACGCTGTCCAGGTAGAAGATTCATGTGGCGTGTCTATGCATGTACAAACGCTATACCGAATATTAGTAACGTTTTTCGATCAGCAAAACCGGTTGAAACAGCGAGTGGTGCGTACTTCAAACTTATATCACTCTGGTCATGATCAGCTGACAGCAAAGCCCGGCTCGACTGAAAAATATTTTTAGCCAAAACATATTTCTAAAATAGCGCGTCGTTACGCCGTCTTATAAGAAAGAGGAGCTACGACAATATGGGGTGCGGCCACTGCGAGCATTTAATAACTGACAAAAGATGCCCATAGTTAAAGGAAATGTAAAAACGTTGTGCCCAGACGTCTGTCACCGCAGTATAACCGGGATGGCAAGAGCCAAGAGGTGAATATAATCGTTTCTTATTAATTTAACCGTGCTATGCTTCGGTCACATGCAGTTCCCGCAGAAAGCGAACGCACTTTTCTAGTACTGTACTTACAGTATTACCTAATTAATCAGCGTCCGAAATTAAATTCCCATTAACGACCGGATCCAGCACGAGTCGTGTAGCTGTAACTCGTATGTAAGAGACTTGCGCCTGGTTAATAGTTTCAAATATAATTATATAAGCGCGCCAGAATATGCATAGCACGCTTTTGTCATTTTGAAAACGCGCTTCTATCATGGTGAATTTGGTCAAATTTTAATTTCTTTTAGCAGGGTTCCTTATCTTGCTATTAACCGTTTGATTATTCACGTCGAAAGCCAGTTACAAGCCCCACCCACAAATAAAACCAACGAGCGGCCGAAACGTCGGCGAAGAATCAGCACTAAACTTGGGAGCGTAAAACTATAACCACGTGGGAAGCAACATCATCCCCATCGGCTTCAGTCTTTGAAGCAGGCATCAAGAGCCACAAAGGTCACATTGGTCAAGGAGGGAATGTCCAGTTGGCGGAGATCCATCGTGTCCCACCGCTGGGGATCGTCATCCGGGCCGAGACAGTTGAACCTAACCAACAAAACATTCCATACACTTTTTCTTGGTCCATAAAACACGATCTCCGCAACCGGGCCACTTACAGCTTGAGAAAATCTCGGATAACGCTCCACTGCTCCGGATAGACCAACGTCAGCATCCAGCGCGCATGGATGGCGGTGACCTTTTGCAGCACCCGCTGACTCGCCGCCGGGCAGTGGGCGTCAGCCGTGGCCAGCAGTATTCGTGCTTGTTCCGCGGCCGTTTGTGTGGAATGGAAACGCACCATCGGAATGATTATTTCCAAGCGATCCGGGGAATCACGGATGTGATCCAGTTCAACATCCGGCTGGGGCACTCCATCATCGGCCCACAATATCGCGCAGGCTGATCCCTGGATGGCTTCGGACGCGGTGAAGTTGATCAGCATCAGCTCATCGCAGACCGTCATCATCCCCGCCAATTCATCGCATTCCAACTGGCCGTTAAGGTCATTGCGCTGGAAGACCAGGAAGGCTTTTGTACGAGCCACATCGATTACGTCACGACCGTTCTTGACAATGATCAGCGGCAGGTGTCGACTTTCAGCGTGTAAGAGTCTTCTGACTGACGACATTTTCGAGCACAGCGCGAACCCGTTATGCAGATGATTCCGGCCTTCCGTCAAGGCCAGCGTGCGGGTGTAGTGCGGCTGTATGCGTTGCAGCAGGGCGCCCAGATTGTACTTGAGATATTTATCGTACTCTTCCTCTAAGTCTTTGTCACCATAGGGTTGCCGGTCGCATTGGGCGCAGACATCCAAGAGGATGTCCCGGTTGTCCACGTAGCTCGTGCTGAGCAGTCTCCACAAAACACACACTCTGGCGAAGAAAAGATGCTATGGTCGTTAAGTTTCGCCAGTGTTATTTCTATTATTACGGGCTGTTGCATGGATAAGGTAAGCGTTATGGTCGCGCTCGTAGATGCCTGTTTATAATTGCATTTTGAAGCAATAACTGATTTAACATCTAGAACATTTAATTAAAAATATCTAAAACAAGTATAGTTTGCAACTTTGAGAAAAGTCTACTGTTATCCACAAACGTACATTATCTGTTATCGTACAAACAGCGAATTTATTCGGATAAATACGGATACTGTACGGTCTGTACCTGCGTGTCCGCAACTGAGAATCCACGTCAAGATATCGGAATATTCCTCCCAAAATCGGATGCGGCAGCTCGCCTGCGCAGATTTGCAGTAATTAAAATCATTAAATAATTCGAATTCTAATCATTAAAGTTCGCTCCGATTGTTGCTGTGGTACGTGCTATTAGTTATAAACTCCCGGAGGAACAGCACAAAATGACTACCGCCTTTCCTTTCAATCGATACCACACTAACCAAGCAGAGTCCCATCAGATGGAGTGGTGTCCATCTTCACAGGCAGTGTCGCTAGTCTCGCAGTGAGGTAGCTATCGCAGGCGCTCTTCAAGTCCTCCTCGTCCCAGAACATACTCTGTCTGTAGCGGTCCCGGTGCATCTCGGCGCAGACGAACGTCACCGTATCGGATCCCAGTCGGGCGAACAGACGACCACCGACATTGATATAATAGCAGGGACAGCTTCCACTGTCAGGGTGCAGCCCGGTGCACTGGAACAGCATGCAGTCGTCGCTAGCATGCGCAGAAAACTGACAATCACCTCGAAGACCGGGCGGCAATGATAACTGGCAGGTACGGGCCACGAACGCCGGGAGGAAATCCAGATCGGGCAGCCGATGCGCCTGCGGATAGGGGATGGCGTATTTCCTGTACAGGAATCCGGAGCTGCGCTGGAAGAAACTGCCACCATCGCCAGGCATCGGCAGAGCGGTCGCGATGTGCGACCACAGCACGAGGCGGTTGGCGGGGGACGCAGCAGAATCGTTCTCAGCCATACGCACCGTGAAGAATCCACCGACTGAATTGTGAACGATAATGGCCTTACGAAGCACCAGCGGTCCCCCGTTGGTTTGCCGCAGCGCAGCGTGGATCGTTTCGCCTTGGCGTGACACGTCCGGTCTGCGAAGAGATGGATGCGGCCATAAGCAGCTGGAATGAATCCATTGGGGCTTCATGTCAGCCGCGTCGAAGTCCACCAAGAACTTGTCGCCGTCAATGTCCTGAACGTATCCCAACCACCACTGGCCGTGGTCGCGCTGCACCAGCACCGTGTTCCCGTAGTTCAGCTCGCGAGCACCCGAGAACAGTTTGCGAAAGTACAGCGATGTCGCGGGCATGGTGCTGCTGTGATAGCGATGAACGGCTGCTCAGCGGAGAGCGGACTGTGGAGACAGAAAACCGAAACAAGCGAAAAGAATCACTGGTATTCTGGTAGTCAGCCGTTGATGAAATACAATCAGCAGAAAATTTAATACGAAATATTGTGATTGTGATTGTGATTTAAAACTTCACTTTGCAAAAACGTGTTTGAGCATGAATACGAGTCAGTCGACTCACCATCAGTAGAGTACGTACGTACTACGTACTTTAATAGCGTACAAATCGTTGTAGCCAGTAAACCTGCAGTAGCCAGACTAGCGGTGGAGGTGGTCTCATGCGCTGTCTTCGTCAGGCGCTTCCGCCTCTCAGCCGGCGGCTACGTGAAATGATCTCATCAAGGTGCTGCATCGGTGATCACGAGCCATCAGCAGTGCCATCCAGCACTTCCGAGTTCCGACTGAAATGCTCTCTGGAACACCCATTTACTGGTTTCTTTTTGATAATATCGTAGAAAAATAGTTTTTACATATTTTCCGACAATGTGAACGGCTTCTAGGCCGTCCACTTGGCGGTTTGTACTTGATTTGTGTGAAGACTAGTTCAACTTGTCCGTAATCGATTTTCGGAGCCTGCAGCATTGAATAATTTGCAGCGCGTGCAACCAGTTCCCTGTATAACACAGTCTGCGCTACGACTGTACGAGGATTTCTGGTTGATGAGCCGCGTTGTAGATGGTGCGTCTGGCGGAAATCTCAATCGGACTGTGACATCCCTGGAAGAACGTTTATCCCTGATTTCTCCGGCGTCGCACCGCGCAGTAAGGAAGCAGAAGGGACGGGAATAAGTGCGAGCCATGTGGAACGTGCGAAGTAAGCGCGCCGTACGCGATGCATGCCGCGGCTTTACTCTGATTGCCTGCAGTCTGAATCGAAGTGCGGGTTTTTTGACGCTGTGTGTTGTGGTGTAGATGTGTTGCGAAATCTGTCCTACCGTCTCAAGACCTCGGCCAATGGCTGTACGCACGGCACGAAGGAGGGACGGGAGCTGGAGGACGAGTACAAACATCTGTGGGCGTCGGGATTTCGAGCGGGAGACTGGCATGCACGGTAAGGATTTTAACGAGTGCCACGCGGCTCAAGTTCCCTCAAAAAATCCTAAAAAATTTCCGTGCGTTCGGAAACCGATGTTCATTACGACAAGTATTTTCTAAAATAAACTTGTGATATAAAACATGAGATTTCTCAACATTATAGATTATAATCACCAACAAGTCTGATAAGAAATGAATTACCTATGTTATTATTATTAACGATAAATAATAATTAAATATCATTGGAATTGTTTTTGTAAAATTAAATCATTAAAAAAACTGCGGTTTTTTGTTAATGGTAATTTTGCTAAATTAGTGCAATTTAATTTGGATTGAATCATGTACAAAATTGATGTTTTTTCGGTTGATGCGGATCTTATTAAATTAATTTGTTAAATAATTCGGAATTAAACATTTAGAAATTCTGGCATTTTTTTGTTAATGGTAATTTGTCATTTTAATTAAGCTGAATTAATTATGTTGTTGACAAGTTGATGACCGTGGAGGCATGTGATTATGAGCGCATTTGACATTTGGCAATCGTTTAGCGATTTTAACCTTGATTAATTTGGAGGAATCCGGTGATCTAATCTCTTTGGATGCATAATCAGTTTGCGTTATTTTTCCGTTTGCAGTCCGAGTGCGCATTATCCGCACCTCGCCGGTCCGCTGTCGTCGTGCGGCGGCCAGCAGAACGGCGCCGGTCGCAGTCAGGAACGCCGTTCGCAGCGCGAATCCGACTGGGATTCGCTAAAATTCCCCTGACGGGACGCTGGATCGAAGCGCTGGGATGGGTACGTTTTTTATTTTTTTGGATTTAATTGTGTTTTAATTGAAATTTAATTTAACTGGAATTTACCTAAATTGATTTAATTTTATTTTTAATTTGTATTTAATTGCCTACGTTGATTCCCGCAGGGCGCGGCGTTGGGATTCGGGCTGAATCTGCTGCACGTGCGGCAGGAGGAGGCCTGGCGACGGCGCTGTCCCCTGGAGCGGCTGACCGCCCTGGAGGGCCGGCTGCCGGCCTGGACGCGCGACCTCTACGCCTTCTCCATGCCGCTGCACGCGCGCAGTCCCCTGATCAAATCCGTCCTGCCCCTGCCGGCCCCCCGCAGTTTCGATACACTGGACGGGAGCAGTGACGAGTCCTTCAGCGACGCGGATACCTCCGTCTATTCATTGACCGAATCTTCCGTAAGTCTAACAAGATTTTTATTATTTTTGCCACTCTTTTTGCTAACAAACTGGTTTTCCCGTGCTTGTGCCGTTGGCATTTGAACGCTTAAAATTTAGCATTTAAACTGATTTTTACTTGAAATTTAATTTTTCTTATTTAGTTTTCTTTGTAAATTCGGTTAATTAATTTTTTAAAATGTTAATATCCACAAGATTTTTTATATTTTTGGTTTTTCCATCCGTTTTAACAAACTTGTTCTGTGTGTTTGTGCCGTTGGCATTTAAAAGCTTAAAATTTAGCATTTAAACTGATTTTTACTTGAAATTTAATTTTTCTTGTTTACTTTTCTTTGAAAATTCGGTTAATTAATTTTTTAAAATTTTAATATCCACAAGGTTTGTTATATTTTTAATTTCTCCATCCTTTTTTAACACACTGGTTCTGCGCGTTTGTGCCGCGGGCGTTTAAACGCTGAAAATTAATTAAGCTGGAATTTAATTTGAATCGATTTGTATTTGAAATTTAATTTTTTCTTATTTAATTTCAGTTGTAAATTCGGTTGGTTAGTATTTTAAAATTTAATTTTGTGTAGGAAGATGCGGATAACAAGCAGATCCGCTACACCCCGGAGAGTGTAGCGTTGATGCGCGTGATGCGCGAACAGCTGACGAATGTGGCGCGCGACTACGTCAGCGAGCTGCAGGCCTTGTTGGGGCGCGCGCAGGGCGCGGCGGCCAGCGAGGACAGCGCGCAGGAGGAGTACAATCTGGGCTTGTTCTACGAACTGGGCATCGGCGTCCCCCGCAACCCCGAAAAGGTCAGTCTTCGCTGGACAGTTATAGAATAAAATTTAAATTCCGCTGGGTAGCCTGCTGCTGTTGAAAATGCCAGTAGAAATAAAAATTCCTGATTGTGGGATTTCTGAAAATAATAATTTTAGTCGCATTATTGTATTTATAGGCCGTTGACCATTATATGGAAGCCGCCGCTCTTAATCACCCTGTGGCCGTTGAAAATGTGATGTTTCTGCACAAATTCGCCACCGGTAAGCTCACAAATTTCGCTATCACATCCCATTTATCGGTGTCATTTAAGTACCATTTTTTTTAATTTTTTAGTTCGTTTATTGTCGATTTTGCGGAACTCGTTACTCAGTTAGTTACTGTAATTCAGTATTTGTTCTGAATAATTTTAATTAATTGCGACTGATTAAATGTCATTTAATTTCACTCCAAGTTATTCGGTAGAATCGGTACAGACAGACTAACCGTACAGTAGAAGCCTTATCGCCGTTATATCGAGGGTGATTTATTTTTTGATTTTATTGGTAATTTTTAATGATTTTTTTTTAATTACATGTAATGAAATTAATTACGCCATTAATTTGTTTGTAGCGTCCGCACAGTTGGGCGTGCGGCGCGCCTCCTCCAGCCCGGCGCTGACCGCCCTGACGGACAGCCAGAGCGATCTGGACAGTGATTCAGAGGACGAAACGGGTCCGCCGCGAGCCGGCAAATTCTGGCGCTCGGACACGGACAGCGGCGGCAGTTTCGACGCCAGCTCCCGCTCGCGCTCCCGCTCCAACTCGTTGCCCATGGACGGCGGCAAGCCGTGGCTGCTGGGCGGGGCCGGCGCCCCGCCGGTCCGCGCCGTTGTGTAATATACGCACCCGTGATAATAATCATATGCACCCTAATATTATTTACCCTCTTGTTGCTCCTTCTCCAGTATTTGTTGTATGCTATGGCTGGCATAATATGCTGCAATATGTGCACGCCAAGTGTGCGTGTGTGCTTTGGATTTTAACCGGGTAGCTTGTTGAATTTTTGCCCTAATGCTGCGTTTTATTTGTTGTGTCGTTGGATCTGACGATGGATAGGCTTTCTCCATTACATATACAGTAACGGATATGTTTAGCAGCTGATATTAATAAATTTATCGGTCGACTATCGAAGATGATTCCCACTGGTGTTTTCTACATTTTTTTAGGGTCGTTTAATGCCACTGATATTTGTTCTTCGCTGACATTTAATTTTTGTATTGTTACTATTAATTTTTGATATTTCTAATTTCACTGATAATTCTTTTTTATCCACATTAATTTTCCCGATATTTATTCTGCACTGCTCTGCCATTTGCTTTGTATAAATCGTCTTTATCGTTAGTTGATTGTCAGTTATGGTAAACTGAATTTCCCTGGCATTTTCTCTTTTTTCTGCATTTATTTTACGGGTACTTACTCGTACCTGACTGACACTGATTTTTATATATTTCATTTGATGGAAGTCAATGCTAGCTTTTTAATTCCATTGATATTTAAATTTTGTTCAACGATTTTTTTATGTCGGTATAACAATCTTATTTTACATAGCGTTTATTCAGTTTTCCTTCCGCATTTATTTTACTGCGGTACATTTTTCATTTCCCTGATATTTCTTTCTGTACAACTACGTAACAAATCAGGCACAATTTCCCCAGCAATTATTCCTCTTTGACCACTTTGCCCTTCTTCCGCCATTTGAGCGCCGGCACCTCGTCGGGCTTGTCGATCAGCTCCGCCCCGTGAAAATACGGGCGAAGGACCGCGGGAATCCTGACGGAGCCGTTGTGGATCTGGTGCTGCTCCAGGAGGGCGATGATGAGACGGGGCACGGCGCAGGCCGTCCCGTTGACGGTGTGGACGAACTGCCGGCTGCTGGAGTCCCGCTCGTTGGATACCTTCTCGTCCGCGTCGAAACTGATGTTCAGCCGCAGACTCTGGAAGTCCCGGCAGTTGGACGTGCTGCTGATCTCCCCGTACCGGCCCTGTCCCGGCATCCACGCCTCAATGTCGAATTTACGCGCCGCCGACATGCCCAGATCGTTCTCCGGCATGTCCAACACCTGCGCCATAAATTACCGACAATTAATCATTTTTAATTCCATTTAAAATAATTATTTAACGGGAAAACAGCCCAGCAAGTCCACAAATGACTGCCGATAATTAATTGCGGTATCTCACGATTTACATAAATATTTAACGGAAAGATAGTTTTGCACCTGCACAAATAACTGCCCAAATTACAATAATAATAAGCTCAAAATAATAAATAAATCAAATGATACTGAGCGAAAAACACACAAATTCAAATAATCTGTAATAAAAATAAAACGATATACCGTATCAATTAAATATTTTTACTATGATAACGAAAATTAACCACTATTTATGTGATATAAGAAACGAAATATAAATGCAGAAATTTCAAATGGCACAGCGACGTACCTGCGCATGGAGCTGCAGGGCGTTGACGATTTCCGTCTGGAGGCCGAGGAAGTAGCGGTGCTCGTCGTCGCTGCGCTGCGGATGGCAGACACTGAACATCTCCACCTTGTTGAACTCGTGCACACGGTAGATGCCCTCCTGGATGTCGGAGATCTCGGCGCGGTAGCAGCGACTGACCGCCGCCATGCGCACCGGCAACTGGCTGGCCGCCAGTCGCTTGTTCTGCCAGAACGCTCCGAACGCCATCTACTAAACAATTCATTTATTCAGCCAGGCAAAAATATTATTACTAATCAAGTATACCAATTATACGCAGCCGCGGTGCTTTTAATTTTGACAAGTCCATTTAATTATCTGTAACAGAAACTTAGCGTGGCCGGTCACGAGAAAAATATTACGGGGGTCCAGCGAAAAATACTGGAGGATCCGTTGTAATACATTTAGATACATAAAACGCAACTGAACGATTTTCTGCACAATAGCCTGAATCATTTTGTGCAAATGACTTTCCTGTCAAACATAATTTATGTTTCACGCAAACCGCTAAGCTGAACCCTTAAATTAATTAAGGGAATTCAAGGACTTCCGGCGCTTGCAACAACTACAGCCGCTCGATGCGGCAGCGTAATGCGAATTTAATTTGGAATTTTTTAAGCTCCCCGCCTTTTTATTTTCCTTTTCTCCACAACAGATTATTTTCCTACAATAATTTTAGAAATAATTAGGAATGAATCACAGGAATAATTGTAAGGTGTTAATGTGTCATTTGGAACCAGACCGAAGCAAACCCAACCGGTCGGCCTTCACGACGCATAAAAAATTGCGACGTAAATCGCGGACTGAAGGAAAAAGCCTGCCGAAGAAAATTTTATGATGTTTTCGCTAAAATTCCGGTGATCACAAACTACATCCCGATCCGTTTCATCATCAACTGCTGCAAATTCGGGAAAATCTCCAGCAGCCGGCTGGCCCAAGCCGCCGCCGAGTCCCCGCCGATCGTTAGACCCTTCACATCGAGCGAAATCGGCCGAAACACCTCGTGATTCACACCGGTCAAATTCATCCCGCTAATATCGAGGAATTCGATCCTGGCGCCTTGAAACACCCCCGGAACGAGGACACTGGCGTTGATCCCGCTCAAATCAAGGTTCCGCAACGTCAAACCACTAAACCCGAGGGGCGCGATGCGTGTCAGGGGGTTGTCGGCGAGATTGACGACCTGGAGGTGTCGATTCAGCGATAGTTGGTTGACAAGGATTTCGCGTAATAGATTGCCAGATAGGTCGACTTCCTGGAAATATGGAACGGATCGAGCAATGGCCGACCACGGCAGTCCGTTTAAACTGGTGTTGGCCAGACGCAGCACCCGCAAACTGGAAGTCTTGGAATATAGTGTCGGGAATCGGTTGCCGGTTGTCGTTGAGGGCGTCCGGTTGGCGTTCGCCTAGGGGGTTCGAGCTTAAATCCAGCACCTCGAGAGAGGCCAACTTTAAGGCCATACGGGGCGGGATTTCGCGGATTAAGTTGTGCGACATGGTCAGCACCTTCAAATTAAAATTAAGTTAATTTTACCAGTGTCTGGAACGGTCGGAAATGAAATATTTGCTTCCCAGTAAAATTCGAAACATCAAACAAAATATTTTATCCTGGACTTGTCTAAAAACAACACATTAATTTTAAAACAAGAACTGGTCAAACGATTTTGGAAAGATTTAATAAAATGCAAAGGAATAACGGCTGAAAATCACGATAACATATCAACAAAAAATTCTAGTAATATATTATGAATTTCTTTGGAAAATATTCGAAAAATAAATTTTTAAAAATTCATTTGTGAAAGTTTTTTTCTTTTCAAATCAATTGCATTTCAAATCTTCTAGGAAAACCTATCCAAAAGTGTTTGAATTGAACCCTTACCTTTAAGGAACTGAGGAAGTTGAACATGGCGGAAAACACCGGCTCGATGCGGTTATAATCCAGATGGAGATGCGTCAGCCGGGTCAGATTGCGAAAATTCTGCTCCACGGCAAAACTCAGCCGATTGTGCGTTAAATTCAGCACCTGCAGCGTGTTGGACACGTAGTGAAACGGCGAGGATGACATGCGCTCCAGATCCGAATGCGTCAGATGGATTTCCTTGAAGCGCTTGTTCAAAAACATGCTCGGCTCCAGATTAATAATGTTGGGATTCTCTGGAGATCCCGAGACGACCAGTACTTCCACATCGTTGTCCAGATTCTGGATGTCCAGGGTGCCGGGAATGCGGACACCGCCCTGCTCGCAGCGCACCCGTTTCCGGCCGCATTCATCGAAATCACAGACGCACACACTGGGGCATAATGCCATAATGCCGTTACGGCCCCGCAAAGCGCGCAAAAAAAGGCTAAGAAACTCAAGTGAAAAGTTCTCATCGTGTGAACAGGACCAGTTCCACATTAAACGCGATTATAAACAATTAGAAAAACACCGGCTGGAAATTAGATTAATCTTTCACGGCTGGTTGTTACTGGATAGTGAAATTTTAAGTTGGAGCTTCGTATTCGGCTGTGGGATTAAATTAGAAAAACGGGGGAAAATGCCTAAATTACGAGTTGCAGCGAATACATAGCGTATGTAGGTAACGCTCGGTCAGAAAAGTGGAAAATACACAAATATCCCGACACAATACACAAGTACGTATTGTATGCTTATGATGCACGCGTTATTTGACTTCTGTCGTCACCACCGAAGCTGGCGCCCTTTTATCGCCGGCAAAAGCCGGACATGCAAGACCATTCATCCAGAAAATACGCAACACGAACGATAACAACACAGGTGCGGTGCGATAAAACCCGCGAGCGCTGACAAGTGAGGTGCGCGTAAGTGATAACATTCCCGATGACACCATTATAAAATTATCGTAAAAGCCGGCTTTGCAAGAAAATGTATACAACAAAACAGCTACAAATTTGAATGCTGACATATTAAACAGTTCACAATCGTAAATTAACGATGAAATGTATACGAATATGCTGTAAAATCTGATACGCACAGCTGCGCAACAAGAATTTGATCCCAAATTCAAATTCATCAAATTTCATTCAAATGATAAAAAATTATCACCGGCTTATTACCTGCTTGTTTACTGGATCAATGGATTTAAAAATCAAAAACCGAAACGGATTTTTAATCGAAATAAATAAGACGAAATTTTTATGAATAAACTGAATAAATAAAAGTCAAAAACGACGTATTTAAAAACCCAAAAAGACTGATTGCTATTTAAAATGAGCAAATAAAATACGCAGTTTATGATTAAAAACTGAGGGAATTAAAGCGAAAAATGATTAAATAAATTCAGAAAATGATTAGAAAAATTAAAAATAAAAGGAAAATAATTTGCAATAAAAAAAATAAAGGATAGGAAATTAGTGCGCTCCATAGATAAATCAGAAATTCTATCCAGTAGAAGAGCTGACCTCGGCGGTGCCGGAGAGCGCCCACTGGCCGTGGCGTCGGGGGTTGAGGAGGTAGACCATGTTGCGGTCGCCGTCTTTCAGCATGCCGCATCCCTCCAGCACCTGCGGCCGCAGCACATCCGGCACGGACAACAGCTGGAAGCCCCGCTGCCGCAGAAACCCCACGGAGTACTCGAGGAGCGCCTGCTCCAACTGCGCCAGGAAGCCGGAGAAGAAGTAGGCGCGATCGGAGGAGAAGCCGTGGAGCTTGGTGCGGCGCAGTGCGTGGTAGGCGTGCGCGATCTGCTCCACCGTCTTCACCGGGAACTCCTGCACGGGCCGGCTGCCCAGCAGCTCTAGCACCTTGGCCATCACCCGCAGAGTAAGATTACGGAGAGGAAAATCACCGTCACACGCAAGAGTCAGCCAACAAAAATCAAAATGAAGAAATTCAAGATCCACCGAATTCACTCAAGCACACAGCAAGTTGCAAGTTTTTCGCTTTTCCATCGTGTTACACTCATCAGCTGTATAGGATTATAGTTTACACTTCTATCTATGCAAATTCAAATCTGCATTCCAGAATCTGGAAGATCAATAGGAAAACGCAACAAAATCAAAAGTGGAAACGTTTTCTTTGTGGAAAACCAAAAATCAAACAAAATATTGAAAATTTAATCAGCGACTGCATTTAACTGCGCCTGGCAGGCGGTAGGACGCACGACAGACTGCACAACCGCCGCCCGCGCAGGTAGCAGCAACATTCTGTCCGCTGACTCCGCTTAGTTGCAATTTTCAAAGGAGCAAAGTTTAAAATGTTTAAATTCACTTTTCCCAGTCGATAAGAATCTCTTTTCTGATCGCATCCGTTTGTAATTGGAGCACGGCCGTCATGCCACTTTTCTACCCGTCTTGCGGCGGTTGTCCAAAGCGATGGACGTGCGAATGCGGGGCTGTGCGATAGATTCCTGTTAAGCTACCTCAGCCTACCTGCAAGCTGCAATCTCTTAGCAGGAAAATCTCAGCCGTGATTCTCGTATCCCGGGAATCTCCGTAGAGTGTATTTGGATCTTTGTTGCCTGCAATGGATGTTCTACAATATTTCTGCCATCCGCTGGAGACGCTGGCGCTGCTGAAGTTGCGATGGTGGGGCTGCGAAGCCGTTCACGCTAAGTGCGACATGGTGCGTATTGCTGAGCGTTGCTGTGGACTGCAAGGTTTGATGGCGCGTTTTCTACAGAAAAAAATGGAGGAGGATCGGCAGCTGTGCTACAGTATGCTCAAGCAGACCAGTCGCAGTTTCTCCGCGGTAATCATGGCGCTGGAAAGCGATCTGGGGTGTGTACGCGTGCTAAATTGCACAGGGGAGTCATGATCTGAATTTTAGTGTGAATTATATTTACCATGAATTTTTCGAATATTTTACCTACATAAACTGCAAGAATATTGTCGTTGAATTTTTCTTCATTCCTACCGCTATCTCTGCCGGTTGTCTCAGATTGCTGTTGTTTTCTAGCAATTGTAATAATTATTTCCGTTCATAAAAAAATGATAAAAATTAAAAATCAATCATGTCAGAGTTAATTTAATTTGATTAATATCATTTTTTCCTTATTTTTTAAAAATATTTCTGAACTGCAGGTACGCGGTGTGCATCTTCTACCTGGTGCTGCGCGCTCTGGACACCATCGAGGACGACATGAGCATCCCGCTGGACGTCAAGCTGCCGCTGCTGCGCTCCTTCCACAAGAATCTCCACATTCCCGGCTGGAACTACCTCGACAGCCGCGAAAAAGACGCCGTCGTCCTCAACAACTTCCACGTGGTCAGTAAATCCCGGCATTATCATGCATTTTTTGCGCCCTCTTTTTTTCGAATTAATTTGCAATTTAATTTTCTAAAATTGAACCCGGTTAATTACCTAGTTCAGATAAAAATAATAGATTAATTTGAATTAAATAATAAATTGAATATTTTGAATAAATCGAATATTTTGAATAAAAATAACGAAATGGCTACGCGCGAGAGTTTCTCGCGTTTCTCGCGCTATGAGTTTTGGCTACGCGCGAGAGTTTTCGGGCGGAACGAAATAAAAATAAAAAAATATAATTTACCTTAATACTTTATAGATTATCATATTTGTCATGTCATGACAACCTGTAAATGCTGTACAAGTCACCTTCGTACATGAAAGTAAGTATCGTAATATCGAACCGGCATCTCGCGCATTGCGCTGACCGGTGTTTCTGTAATAATTAGCCCACACAATGGCACTGGTAATTAAGATAGGCGACAGATTCGAATACTACGCGGCGGCGTTACGTGCTGTCGAGGAATGGAGCGAATCCACTCATCAGGTCTTCATAAATCCCGGTGGCAATGCAAAGACTTCGAAAACGCACCCACTGCACGACACCTTCCCGTACAGTTCAGTGAAACTGGTATGCAAGAAAGCCGGCGTGTATCGTCCCCATCCAGCCGACACACCGGTTGCCGCTGTTTCGAACAGTCCCTCGGCAACAAGGAACGAAATGGGCATGCCGCGGCGGAAGTCGGCCGGGATACCCCGCAGTCCACCGCGTCCAGGAGAAACACCCGCATGTGTCTCAAGTATCCGGAGAAACACCCGCGGCTCGGATACTTGAGACACATGCGGATGGTCAGAACGACGTCGTACACCGATTCGGAGAAGAACTGGTGGTGCTTCGCGAGGACATCAACAAAACGATCGGCTCGGATTTGGAGCTGAGATTACTCAACGCAGGAGTTTACCTGCTACGCAATGCATTTCCTTAAAGAGACGGGCCGGCTAGAACTTCCTGCAGAGTTGGCTCTGTGCCAGCATAACGACCAGTGTTACGCTAGGATTCGTTTTCATATCCGCATGCATGGAGGTATCATCATACAGCCGCTGTACAATGGCCTTCTTTCATTCTCAAAACCCTGGCGTGGTGCGAATATACTGCTCCACCGGTCAAATGCCCACCGATGCTTTGAAATTGCAACTCAATTTCCTGTTCCCTTATCCCGACACCAAAGGCCAGGTTTGCCATCGAATACGTCCCGGTGTACGCCCAGTCTCCCGGCAGTAACAACTGCTTGGTATACGCTTTTGCGTATGCGTATGACCTTCTGCTGGGGAAACATATCCAGAGCGCAAATTACGCCCGGGATGAGGATTTCCGACAGTGGTTCTTAGATATAATACAAACAGGAGCACTGACACCTCCTCCTCGAGTACAGGGAAGAAACACTCGAAGAAAAACTTCTGTGACCAAAAATAACGCTGTAGTAACGGCAGCTGATGTACTGCTTATAATTCGCCGGCTGGGAATGCCTACCGGTTTCCGAACGACTGCGGTGTGACTGATTTGATGCAAATTGACTGATGCGACAATTATAATGCACTATAAACAACTCCAGAGCTGAAATTATGTCAAAATATGTTGATTATATTCATAAATAGTGGCGCCGAAAAACTCTCGCGCGTAGCCAAAACTCATAGCGCGGGAATGTTCTCGCGCGTAGACATGACGTAAAAATAAATTGATTAAATTAATGTGTATTTAGAAATAAGGTAACAAAGATTATTATGAAAATGAATAATGTATTGCCTATTTAATATTGTAGTAAAATAGACAAAATAAATATGAAGCGTCTATAAAACTCCAGAATATGGTTTTTGTTATTTTGTCCCAGACAAATCTGCATATTTATGTTATTGTGCAGATCTCAGCGCAGTTCCGGCGCCTGGCGAAAGGTTACCAGGACGTGATCAGCGACACGTGCCACCGCATGGCCGAGGGCATGGTGGTGTTTCTGGAGAAGAACTCCGTCGTCGACACCTACCAGGAATGGGACCAGGTTCGTTCTAATTTACAACAAAAATATTACAAAATAATGGCCAAACTATTTTTCCAAATATTTTCCCCGGAAATTTGACGTTTCATTGCGGCTTTAAATTTAAATTTTTTCATCATACCTAACGTGATTAGAAACTTCTTAGAAATATTTTCACTCAGATATCTTTCGCCGTTCGAGACGAAATTAAAAACGTTCGAATTAATTTGAATCAATTTATTTACTCCTTAGAATTAATTCCATGTTAATTTGAATTAAAAAATCACCGGTTGCTGCGCAGTACTGCCACTACGTCGCGGGATTGGTGGGCATCGGTCTGTCGCGTCTGTTCAGCGCCTCGCAGCTGGAGCATCCCGCCGTGGCCGAGCGCGAGCACCTCTCCAACTCCATGGGCTTATTCCTACAAAAAACCAACATTATCCGCGACTTCCACGAAGATATCCGCGACCAGCGCCGGCTGTGGCCGGCGGAAGTGCTGCGGCACACCGGCAACCCACATCTGACGCTGGACGACCTCTTGCTCCAGGACAACCGCCCCGCGGCGCTGTCCTGCCTCGACGAACTGGTCGGCAACGGCCTGACGCATGTCCCGGATGTCATGGAATATTTACACGCCATCCGGACGCCCAGTGTCTTCGCTTTCTGCGCCATTCCACAGGTCAGATTTATTTTGCAATTATTTCTTTGCAGACGGATGTTCACCTGGATTTATTTCAATTTTTCTCGAATTATCAAATGGTTAATGTCGTAATTTTTATTTGTTTTTCTCGTGCATTTTATTTTGTAAAGTTTTCCCAAAATATATTTTCATCTGGGTTGATTAAAAAATTTTTTTTGGATTATTTAATGGAGCATTGTCGTAATTTTTTATGCGTTTCGTGATGCATTTCAGTTTGCAGTGGCCCCCAAAAAACACATGTAAATTTTCCCTCGAATTGTTTACTGAATAATTTCGTAATTTTTACTAGTTTTTATTGTGCATTTTATTTCGTAATTGTTTTCGAACGCTTTTTCCCCTGGACGCTTTTTCCGAAAAACGCTTTTTCCCGTGGACTTATTGTGAAATTATTCTTAAATTACTAAGTGAATAGTCTCCTAATTTTTATTGGTTTGATGGTGTATTTTATTTCGCATTTGTTTTTGAAAAGCGCTTTTTCGTGTGATTTGATTCGGAATTTGTCTGGAATTATTAAACGGATAATTTGATTAATTTCGTAGTTGTTTTTTCAAAAACACTGTTGTGGTGTGGACAGGTGATGGCCATGGCCACACTGGAACGCTGCTTCAACAACCCCACGATTTTCACCGGGAAAGTGAAGATTCGCCGCGGCGAATCGGCGTTTATCATCAACAACTGCACGGATATGGCCGCCGTCCACGAGCTCTTTCGTTTCTACACCAACAAAGTAAGCTAGCAATATGCGTGTGTACGTCGGCTGTGTCGGGAAAACGTTCCCGCATTTACCTTTTTGATCAGACAATTTTCCTAGAAATTCATTGCGTCCAATGTACAATGTAATTTGAGAATTCAGAATTGAATTAATTCAAAATTTACAACAGTTAATTTAGGGAAAAATTAAAAGAAAGTTTTAATGAAAATTAAATTAGTATTCGGTTAGCAATTTTTCAACACGGATGAAACTTCGCCGCTGCCAAAGTTCACAGAAGACCGTGAACCAGTGGAATGCGCCAGTTCACTACGTTAACAGCGTAATTCCCGGCTTCAGCCACCATGACATTTGATCATCATCGGCAAACTGATTATAAATAAAATTAATAAAATCAACTAGAACAAATCAAGTGAATAAAAAGGATGTGAAAATAAATCAGCTAATTCGTAAAACTTTAAAAAAAATTGCAATTAAAAATTTAAGTTTAAATCTAAAAATGAAAACGTAATTGAAAATCTAAATTATGATGGAAATTTAATTGTCGTACGGTCGGCAGATAGCAATGTCCTCGGGAATTTAATTTAATAGAATAAAATTGCGAGAAAAAAATTGAAACCCAGTTTGAAGTGAATAAAAATTTCTTGTACAAAAAAAATTTAATAGAAATTGAAATATCGCCTTTTATACGGTTAGCCATAGGATCGTGGGTGTTTTCGGGTAGATTATGTGGAAGATGGAGCGCGCCGGGCGTCTGCCGCAGGCGGAAACGTTCAAACGGTCCCTGCGCGCCGCCGGCGCCTGGCAGCCGGTCAACCGGTGGAGCAGCGGCCTGGTGGACGGCGTGGTCATTGCGTTGGTGGTGGTGGCGCTGTGGAAGCACTGGACACTGGGCCGCGGTTACCTGCGCGGCCGCCTGTGACCCCGTCATCTCCCCGTGTGTGTCGTCACGTGGTTGTATGATTTTCTCATCTGTGTTCCTCAGAAAGAGAAGTATTCTATGGAAATTTGATTTTTATTCGTTTAAAATAATGTTCGTTAATGTGGTGAATATCTGTTGCTTTTAAAAATACCGTTCCATGTCCCGGTGAATTTTTGTCCATTTAAAAGTAAAGTTTCGTATCGCGGTGGATTTTTTATTGATTTAAAATTATGGTTCCTCGTGGCGGTAAATTTTTATTCATTTAAAAACAAAGTTCCCAACAGAGTGAATATTTATTAATTTAAACAAAATTCCTTATCGCGATGAAGTTTTACTTAATTTAGAAATAAAGTCCCTTCTGACGCTGCATTTTTAGCAGATTTAAAAATTAAAGTTTCGTATCGCTGTGAATTTTATTCATTTAAAAATAGGTTCATTACCGCGCTGAATTTTTAATTAATTTAGAAATTAAAGGTCCGTTACCGCGCTGAGTTTGTATTTATTCAAATTAAAATTCCATGTCGCAGTGATTTTCTTTCAGGGTTTCTTATTGCGGTGGAATTCTTCTCTGTTAAAAATTAAAGTTGGGTGCGCTGAATTTTTATTAATTTAAAAATACTGTTCTATCGCGCTGAATTTTTTTAAATTTGGAAATAGAATTCTATCGCACTGAATTTTTATTTAATTTATAAGTAAAAGTTCTATCGTATTAAATTTTTATTTAATTTCAAGATAGATTTCCTTATCGCGCCTGACAAAAAAAACACACACAACACCGCCGATAATTTTTTCTACCGTTGGCAAAAATGATCAGTACAGCAGAGGCTGTGGGAGATTTGGATGCTTATCGTATCCGCGGAAATTATCAGGACACACGCGCGTCTAACGCTCTGTGGACAGGCATGCCCCGTTCGCCGCTATCCTGAATTGATAAAAATATATCTTGCATACACAACCATTTCAGATAGGGCCCGCTCTAAACCGCGGGGACAACGCGAAAATGCCGAGATAAATCGCGGCCCAGCTTCATCGGGCGAAAACGCAAAATATACATATCAAAAGCAGTGCGGATAAGTTAAAGGAGCGATCGCCCATCGCTTTCCTTCACATTTTCATCAGCGCCCCTAAAATGCGGGGCAGCGTTCGTTTCTTGTGGACGAAATTTCGCCCACATGTTTTCGTCGACGCCGGTCGTAGTTGCGTCAGTTTCCGGTCACCGCGATGACGTCAGCGAAATTTTTATTTTATTTTTGTTAACAACGGACTAATTATGCCGTGCATATTCGGAAAGGTCACCGTGGATTTATTTCGCGTTTTTGCATATATATAGCAAAATTAGCCGGTCTCCTTATCACTGTGTGAATGCACTCCGAATTCTCAAAACGGATTATACACACTTATAAACGCCCAGTGTTCGGAATGGGCAAATATTGGGGGAAAAATTGTTTTTGTATCTGTTGAGTGCGTCTGAAAATGCAGAACGCTACAGTTGTATGCGGCAAATATTGACGGATCTTCCATCTCTTGATTTCGCTGTGTAGTGGATTTATTTGGCTTCCCAGCTGAATGCGCGTGAAATGGCGATAGCGTTGGCCACAATTGTATTACCGGCAAACAAGGTAACGGCGATAACGTCTCCGTATTCGGAGTCTTTTATTGACCTCCGCGATAACGAGCGCTCGTAAAATCGGCTGGCTGTATATATACAATGTATATAAAATTCATTACCGGCTATCAGGTGTCCCCGCGTGACCTTTGCCCGTCCGCTTGAAGCCTTGACGGGATTAATGCGGAGATGTGTGATTCGGGCGTAATAAGGCAAGCTGCTGGAGAGAGTGTATTTGAGCGCTTGATTTGCGAGCGTCTGTCTCAGCTGGCCGCTCCAATTAAACGCCACGTCTTATCGGGTGTTAAAATGGCCCATATAAAGATTATTAACCATATTGGCAAACTGCGCGTTTTCTCCCCGGGTCAGCGTTATGTGAGCATTATGGCACCGCAGAAATAGACGCTGACTAAATAGTAAATATGAACAGATGCCAGAAATTCAAGACGGGCATTAAATCGCCTTTAATTCTCTATTTATATGCATTTATGAATTTATCGTATCAACTTAACGTAAAGATATTTTATATTTAATTTGCAGTTACACCTCATCCCACTGTATCTATTTTTTTCCTTCGGATTTTCGCGGTTTTCCATTTTTTTGCTTATAAACAGCGTTTCTTTTAATATTATTAAAATTAATGAATAAAACATAAATGAAGATTTATACTGGTAATGTGTGTGTACAGTATTTGGCACATTGTTATTATTTTATTACTTTCAGCAGAATCATGTTGATTATGAACGTGTCTTTCTACTGCGTACTTTTTCCACAATTTACGAGAATTTCGGGAATTTTATTACAGGAATTTTAAGACATCAAAATATTGGGAATGTGTCATGCAGAAGGAAAAAATGTGCCATATAATATGCGTCTGCGAATTGTACTGGAGAATGTGGCAAATGGCGTTGATCAGATTAATTCTGCTGTATCGGTATGCGTGGCATATGTGGGGAAATTAGACGGATATATTATTTCTTCCATAAACATTGAACGCGAGCCGGTCTGCCCAGTATTAAATGGGCAACAATAACAGACGTCCTGCGTGTCGTGACCCGCTGCGGCTAAATGGATTACAACATATAAACATTTCCCTGCACACGCCGCCGCTTAGTGCGTGCTTGTGTACATATTCCCCTCAAAGCAGCCGACCCAATAATAATAATATGAACTTTTTCCCTTAATTAATTGCTAACGATCATTTACACCAGCAAAATAATGCACATGACATTTTATTTGCTATTTATTTCTAATTTCTCCCGGAAAAGCGGGATTATTTATTTTATGTGCGACAACATCTTTCTTTATGTACAGAGCGGCATTCCGTTATCGAAAGAATTTATTTAAATTTAAAAAATAAATCTGTAATTTACTGGGTAAAAAAATAAATCTGTAATTTACTGGGTAAAAAAATAAATCTGTAATTTACTGGGTAAAAAAATAAATCTGTAATTTACTGGATAATTTACTAATGTTTCAATATATAATAAATTAAGTAGATTAATGTTTCTATTATCGAAATAGTTTAAAATAAAACTGATCGGTTATTTACTGAATAACGAAAAAAAATTGGTAATGTTTTTCGTTTTCCCAATAATTCAAAGGAAATCAGCTAGTAAAAACTGAATTAAAATTCATCGGAGTAATCAAAATAATTTTTAAAGGCTTTTATAATGAAATAATTTGTCTGCGCAAATGTAATTTTAAATTATGTCGCAGTATTTAGTCTAGCTGCTTTTTATCGTTCGCAGAAAATGCTGTTAGTAAATTACTTCACAAATTTTGTTGATTATAATTTCGTTTATTTTTTCTTTTGCAGGAAATTTTATTTAGAACATATCAATTTGCATTAAAAGACAAAAGTGTTAATTAACGGATATGAGCGGTCAAATTTAAAACGGCAATTAATCAGGTGCAAGTGTGAACTGCACGTCAACGCCGCTTGATATCTGATCCGATTTTCCGGGTTCATCAATTTTAATTTGCCATCATTCTCCACGATGCTGTCTTGATGCGATGCGCGCGGACGCGCCCAGTTTATATGTACATAGAACATGATAAAATTAATTCGATCATGCGGTGAACGGCCTTTCCCTGCGTATTCTGCAGTGCTGCAACAGCAATGACCTTTCCCAGTTTTATCGCCTAATTTCGCTGCTAATTTTATGGTGTTTATTTTGCCGCACTGGATCAGCGATAAAACCACTTCAGCATATAGACAATTAATTGAACATGTAATGAGAAAATCAAGCACACTGATAAACGCTTATCAGGCTTGTGCCAATATAGAGAAAATTCCGATTTTATTTGCTCAGTATTTAATTTTCAAATTGAATTACTAAATACCACGAAATTATTAACAATTAATTATTTTCTAACTATACAATAAAATAAATTAAATAACAGAACAAAATCAGAATAAACTAATAAAGTAAATAATTATAAATAAAAATTTTAAAAATGTTTATATGACAAGCAGCCGTTGTGTCAACACAGAAAATTCCGATTTTATTTGCCGGTTATATTTAAATAACACTGAATTTCGCAATTTTAAATAACAGATCCGTGTCTTTTTTCAGCTTAAGTATGCAGTGTTTTCAATGGGTGTTCAGGAGAAAAAAATGGCTGGTGGGGAATGGTAATGGGCAAAGTGCAGTTTAGACATTAGTGAAGAAGAGGGAAAAAAACGCAGCCTGGTGAGAATAATGCGCATAGTTGAAGCACTTGTGGCACGCCAATAAATCACCACGCAAATATGCAGCTCCACACAACAACGGCTGCATGGCGTCTTGTGGCAGGCCATGAATAATCCCTGCTTAACGGCCCGATTCGCCCGGTTGACCCAACACGCCACGGCCAGGCGCAGTTTTAAATTGGAATAACGTTAACCTATAAAATCCTCGTATTTTATTCAGGAATTTGCTGGAATTTTCAGAACAGTATTTTAATCTCGTTATTTAAACGTTTATATATGGTTCTGGCCGAGAGTGACCTTTCGGTTTTTTTATATATTCATATATAACAGTTTTTCAGCAACGATTCAAAACAAATTTCACTATGTCTTTTATATAAAAATACATTAAAAAAATTAATTAAAATTTTGGGGCGGTTTAGTTTGTAGTAAATTATTTCCGGTAATAATTATTTTCGAGTTTTAAATTTAAAAATAAATATGATTATTTTTGATTTATTATTTTCTTCGGTTTTTTTTTCGGACGGCAGTGAAATGATTTTTAAATTTTTCAAGAAGAAAAAATTGCCTTTTTTCGTGGATGAGCTTCCGGTTGACACGACGCGGCCAACGCCACTGTGTTGTTGTGAAAAACGCCGGTCATTTGCGTGTATTACTCACCCGGCGATCCCTGGGTTTTTCTTCAGTTGGGAGTTTATGAATCGCACTTCACCGGCGAAAAACGTGCTTGGCAGCGCTGATCGTGGCAGCAGTGAATTTCTTTCCGGATTCAGTTAAAACACGAGTGCCTGACCTTGGCCACCCGGTCGCGACTTTTTTCCCTCGCAACCTTATCAGACCACCAACGTAAACCAAAATAAAACACCAACACAATCCGCAACGGTGGTCTATAATGGTTGACCTTTCTCTTTATAAACACTACAAAATTTCCATCAATATTTTTCTTAAAGAATGTATTCGTAATTCTTGAAATTGTTTATTTAAATTCTATCGAGAATAAAACGGTAATTTAAATGGGAGAAAATAGCGCATAAAAAGGCCAACAAACTGAAATAAAATGCCAATATAATCCTCAACGCTTGATCCAGCAATTTTTTTTCTTATAAACACAAAAATATTTCATTTATTTTTTAAAAGAATGTACTTACAATTTTTGCAATTTTTATTTAAAATTCCATGGAGAAATAAAATGATACTCAATTATAAAAAAAAAGCGTAGAGAAAAGCCAGGAGAAGCGTTGAGCGTTAGGCTCCGCCCTCTTCTCTGTCTGCGCGCCGCGTCGCCGACCAATCAGCGCGCGCGCGCCACTGCCTTGGTCACCGCGCTGCAGCAGCGCTCTGTTTAAGCGGAGCTGCCGTTAGCCACAACATTCCCCGCATATATATCGGAATTCATCCGCGAACAGATAAAAACCCCGAGCTGATTGTTGAGATTTTTACGATATGTTCCAGTTGCTGCACTGTCTATTCTTAGTGACTGTTATCATCCCGTGGAGGTGACCTCGGCGTCTATAAGCACGGCGTTATCATTATCATTGCGGTGCAATTTGATAAGCGGCGCTGAATTCGCTGCTATCTTGCGCGACGACGCGGAGGTCCCGATAATCGCGCATAATAATAATAATTATTAATATTCCCCGATAAGAGATAAGGACACGGCTGTTGTTGAACGGGGGACTGCGGCGCTGCATTATGCTGCGAGTGGACATTCTGCCGGTGAATGTGGCCGCCATGGCCAACAGCAACGGCCACAATTACGAGATTGATATGCGCTACTACGACCGTAAGTTGTGCCGATATTTTATTTTGCAATTTAGCAACAACATACTTTTCAGTTCTCACTAAGTTGATTTTTTATTGGGATTTTCTATCAGGGAAATTATTGGTACATGTATTATTTTTTAATAATAATCCTCGAGATAGTAAACAATCCCTGTCATGCTATTTGGATTAATATCGTTTTTAAAAGAATATTTTACGATTTTTGATAATTATATATACAGTTATTATGTGCGTTAAAAATTTGTAGTAATTGTAAATTTGATAATAATGTCTGCCTTTTTAGCGCCTTTATTTGAATAAAATTTTTAGAAGGGTTTTCTGGAAATTCCGATGCTATGATTTTATTTATTGCGACACCAGATTGTTGTAAAATTTACTAATATTTAAAAATCAGTTGATAAAAATTATATTAAACATTTCTGGATGGCATTTTGTGCTGTTAAGAAATTTGAATTTACGAAGGAAATGTCAGTGCGTATACGGTTGATGTATAAATGTTGTGCGAGGGGAAGAATGCAGCTGATTAATGGGATTGTCTTAATGCTCTTCTGTATCCTGACTCTGACTTGTGAGCGGAAGAATGTGTCGACGAGGGGCTAATTAATTGGCCCGATGTGATGAAGATGCGATAGGCGATAGGCATGCGGGGTCACCGTGCGCGCTGAACGGACAAATGCCCGTTGACAAGCCGCTAATTGGCCCGCGCTGCGCTCCGACAAGCAATCAACCAGCTGAGTGTAACCCGACACCCGCTAAACACAACAATCCCCAACACCATCCCTAATCATCAACTGATCGTTAAATCTTAATTATACACACACAGCTGACCACAATTCCTTCGATAATTTATTCCAAGAAAACATAAAAAAACGCTACGTAATTAAGCATGACCTTTGGCATCACCGGCATCGAATTCTGTAACAAAATAAATTTTTCGAAAATCAAAGTAGAATAATTTTATTCGAATAAAAACAGGTAAAATGATTAACTAACTCCTTTCGCGTTACCGGCATCTTGAAAAAAAATTTAAAATATTCAATTTAATAGCCAACTAAAAATAAATATAATTGCATAAATGTTAATTAAAACCGTTCAAATAAAATAAAAGTAAGTTTTCGCAACACCGGTATCTTTTTTATGAAAACAGATTCAATTTATTAGGCCATAGCTGTAAAAATAAAATAAAATTACTAACATTGGACTTTATTTCTAAATATGTACAAAGCGAGCTTCACTCAACAAATCAGATCAAATGAAGAATTTGTCCCAATTACTAATTACTAACATATACAATGAATTTTTCAAAAATAACATTACCTACAAACACACCGGCTGATTGCCATTAGGAAAGCGGATCATATAATAATGATTAAGTAATTCTGAATAAATTCTGTGGAAGATGCGGCATTACGCATTCATTATATATTTGACCACGAGCGCCGCGCTTCCGTTTTCCTGGCTGGCACGTAACACTGAGCACCGTGGTGGCGCTTATCAGCAAACACACAACTCATCCTCAACGGCGACCGGGTTCGCCGTTTTCCGCGCACTGTGTCAACGCTGCTAACCAGCCAACAATGCGGTGCAAAAGTCCATTTTAATAAACACTGATAAGAATTTACTTCCAGCAGCCAATTATTAAATATACGCTGCGTAATTATCCAGTGCGTTATTAAGATGATCCGTTGACGAACGGGGGAAATCAGAAATCAGTCGAGCGCTGATTAGCTGCTGATCACCGCATCGCCACTGATTTCTAATTTTTGTGTAAATTTCGCGACTGTTAACGCTATCCTGCGTGGTGTTAATATTATCCGCTGTCGCTGTGATATTCAAGTGTTTTAGCCCGATTAATCCTTAACAGATTATTTTCGTGGATAGAGATTAAACGCTTAGCTTAACGCTTAACTAATTCGACAAGGAGCTACTATATATTTTAACACTTCCTGATTATCGGCAAACCCAAGACTAGTGTTTTCAATTGGTGAGTGAATGCGCTAAGATTATGTTAAGCGAAAAGCCGTAGTGACAATTGTCGGTACAGCTTAGCGCTCGCTGACGACAATGGCCATTGGTCAGTGGCGTAATATAGCCGCACTGTCAACGGATATCTGCGTCACTCGCGTGTATGTATGGACGGTCAATATTGCAGTTATGCCGGTGGCATACAAAGCGGCATTAAATTATTTACGAAGATCTGCTTGCTTCTATCTGTTACTATTATTATAAATATCTTTATTAATTTACCTTTTACTACCTAGTGTATCATATAAATTAATCATTTTGAGTGTTGCTACCTTGCCACGTATTACGCATTATTTAGCCTGTATAATTTATTAATGTGTTTTAATTGCTGTCTGAGTTACCTCATTTATTTGCTTATGTAATCAATATTATTAATTTTACTACATAAATTAATAATTATGATAATATAAGAAATTAGTAATTGGGAATTGGGATCGCTGTTATAAATGGCCGTTGTCAGCACGATTTCTGGCAGTGACCTTTGCTTGTAAGGTCACGCGTTCGCTCCGCTTGGCCGGCCGCGCGGTGCAACCGGTTGCAACGCTCTCCGCCGTTTAAACAAATGTTGGCCACGGCGATAAGAAGCGCGTTTAACTGCCAATCAAACAGGCATCCTCCAAGTATTGGCTTAAGCATTAAAACACACGAAAAAGAGAACTGCTGATTAGCGTCAAAAATTTATATAAGTATATAAAATTTAATTTGAAAAATAATTTGCCGATACAGTACGATCCAGCAGCCGTTGAACATGGATAGAAAGGTCACCAATTCTCGTAAAGATTTGATTAATTTAAGCGACAGCATTACGTTAACACATTGCTCAGAATAAAAGTATGATGAAAATGTCAACACAGTAGAGAAAATCTGTCGAATACGCTAACGGTGAAAACGCACACCGGAAATGGAATCATTGTACACACAATGACGGGCCGGCCGTACCTGTTTTCCCCGCAGAATTCGCACAACACGGCCGGCTGACAGAAAAAGTGTGCTGTACGCCGATTTTTTGCTGCGGCCATGTTTGGTTATAATACGCAAAGAGAATACCTTGGCGACGCTGTGTGTACACGGTACATTTTGTCAGCCGGTGCTGTACAGTCTGCAGCAGCTGGTCCACCTTTGGTTTGTTTAAACAAAATGCGGCGAATATGTGCTGACCATCCGGTGAGAAGAACTGCGTCTTGGCGCGCCAGTTGAACAGCGTTTTTAACACACCAGCATTATTCGCGCCACAATACACTTATCGGAATGTCCACACTTTAATCGCGCCTGACCTAACGTTGAGCTGTGGAGCAGACTGTACAGGAGATAATTTATCGTTTTCATAACAGCTTCTGAATGTGATTGCACGGCGCTCGCACTCACACACCTTAAATTCATCGCCACATACCGGCTTTTTTTCCGGGAGCTTGTTGGTTATTTTTTTCTGATATCGCTGGTACGGTTTTGTAAACAAGTATTTAACGGCGTTTTGTACTGTATTTATCAGTTTATCGTCTTACTATCTTTTTTTCTTTCCACTTTTTTATAGAAATTTTTTGGTAATGTTACTGCATTTTTAGAATTTCCCTTCTTTTCCTCTCCAGTTTTTCAATTATCTTTTTATTTCCCCTTTTTAAATTTTCTTAATAACAGATATTTTTCTTAATAATTTTGCTTTTAGTTTCCCTTACAATTTTTTTGTGATTATCTGAATATTATTTATCACCACTATTATAACCCGTTTTTTATTTTAATGGTTATTTTTTAGCTCAATATGTTCTCTACAATTTTTTTCTGATTATACTGATGTTTTCTTATTTCAACCGCGCTGTTATGGTTTTCCTTAACGGCGCAGTTCGCCTGATATTCCGGTTTAATCGATAGAAAGTGAATTTGCGGCATTTTGATTTTATGCGAATTTGTTGCATTCTGATTTTATGTGAATTTTTTGTATTTTTTAATAGGAATGCGACAAATGGCTGCTCCCTGGAACGGACCAGCCGACCACCTCGACACCGCCCCCACCTCCGCCCCGCACCCCTCCGCCACGCCCGCGCCCACCTCGGCGGCCGTCAGCCCGGCCTGCTCCTCCTCCGGCGACTCCCCGGGGGCGGCCACCGCCCCCCACCACGCCGCGTCCCCGCACCACCACGTCGACTCCCCGCGGGGGGCCGCCAACGAAACCCGCCGCCCCTCCGTCCTCGTCGCCCCCGGCCACGTCCTGGCCCCACCCGGCAACACCCTGGACACCCCCTCCGCCGGCACCGGGACCCCGGCCCCGCCCAGCATCGCCAGCTACGCCGCCGCCGACACGCAGAACCTGCTGTCGCGGGTGACGGCGGCCGCCGGCCTGGAGGTCAGCGTCCCGCCGGGATCCCTGTACATCCCGGTGGCGGAGGCCGATATGCAGGACATGTACGCCGCCTACGCCACGCCGGGCTTTTACAGCAGTAGCAGCGCCACCTACCCGGGGGGATACGCCGGGCAGACGCCGTCCTACAGTGTCCTGCAGACGCCCATGCAGAGCAGCTACGCCAGCCAGACCCTGCCGCAGTTGACGGGCGCCGTGACGCCGTTGAATCAGCAGCACTACTGGTCGGCCTATCCCGCCGAGCAGTACGGTTCGCGGTACTACCAGACGGCCAGCAACGCCGGGACCGCCGCGACGTACCAGGGCATGCGGAGCTCCGGGTTGCACGGGTACATGACTACGCCCTCCGCCGGCGAGATCACCTGGGCCAGTACCGGGACGACGGCGTTTTCGCCGGATGGCGGACTCAGCGCCTACACGGTCAACGTGCAGAAGGCCGCGCAGCAGCAACAACAGCAGCACGCGCAACAGACCGGACACCGCGGACAGCCCGTCGGATATCCCGGTAAAAAAACTTATACTTCAGTTAAATAATGTTCAACTTATATACGGAGACCTTCGCCTGAACATATGTACAAATTTATACTCGTGTATGAATACATACAATGTATGTATATGGTGACCTTTGTATATGTGAAACATATATACGCGTACATATCTATAGTATCGATGTGGTATGTACATTTATTATACGGTGACCTTTAAATATGATACATATATACGTATATGTACGTATATATATGATACATGTATAATACATATATAGATACCCGTATATATGATACATATAGATACATGCAATATCGGAAATGTAGCATGTACATTTATATAGCGGTAAGTATATATGGTGTTCTTTATATATGAAACATATCTAGAGTTTGTATAGCGGTGTATCCTCGTATATATGGTGACCTTTATCTTAAGTCTGTTTGTATGACGCACAGAGTACGGCGTGGCGGAGGAGCAGTACATGGAGGGGCGGGAGTGCGTCAACTGCGGCTCGCTGGTACGTGAATACCCGGTATGTATGTAGCGGCCGCCCGCGTGCGTCCCTCGCATCGGCAGTGATCCTGTTTCTAACATTGCAGCACACTCCGCTGTGGCGGCGCGATCAGACCGGGCACTACCTGTGCAACGCCTGCGGCCTCTACCGCAAGGTCAACACTGTCAACCGCCCGCTGAGCAAACCCTCCAAACGGACGGTAAAGAAAGTGTACGTCGCGCGCTGACCACCGGCTAGTTGCATTTGTGGCTATTTAATTTGTAGCAAAATACCTCCCGCAGGGCGGACTTGATTTGCTCCAACTGCGCCACGCACACCACGACCCTGTGGCGAAGGAACAACGACGGCCATCCCGTGTGTAACGCCTGCGGCCTCTACTTCAAACTCCACGGCGTACGTATATAATAAATGTATCATTTTTTACCTGTTTAAAAAATTTTCTTTGCATATTTTGACTGCATTTTATGTGAAATAACTTGGCATAATTTTACAGGTGGCCCGTCCAACGCAGATGCGCAAGGACGCCATCCAGACGCGCAAACGCAAGCCGCGTTGCGCCAGCGGCGGCAGCAGTAAGAAGGCCGCCACCGAGAGCAACCGCGTCGACAAAATCACTCTCGATATCGGTCAGTATTTTATCAGTTTTTCCAAGCTTTGTTGACTGCGTCCCTACCTATTACAAACATCCGCCCGTCGCTACTACCGATTGAATGATTTAGTGAAATCTTCGGACTGCTATTTTAAACCGGCCTTTCTTGCAGGCGACCCCAGCAGCAAGCCGATCAGCGCCCTCCCGTACGGCGGTCTGCCCAACGTCGTCCCGACATCATCGCACCACTCTGTGATCACGCCCACCGGTTCGGCGCCCTCTCTGTCGCAGGCGCCCCCGCCCTACGCTGGCGGCGACCAGCAGGCGCCCGCCGAGGACAAACCCGAGCTCCTGCCGCACCCGGAGGACGCCGGCCACCTCCCGCCGCACCTCCGCCCCGCCCCCCGCGACAGTCCCCGCCCCCTGATGCCGGTCTTCGCCCCGGCGCCGCCGCCGCACCCCAGCGCCACCGCTCCGGAGCTGACCGCCCGTCTAACGGCGTCGCAGTAAATTGTGTCCCACGGCAAACCGCCCGCGACCGGTTGCCACGTTGCCTTTTGGTTTAATATTATTATTACCAATTTAATCGAATATTAAGTGAAATGTGTTATTGTTCGATCCCGGCACTTTATCGTACACGTATAAAACATTGTTTGTTAATTATTTTTATTTTGCCGGTTGCGTTGTTTTTGTTGGTGTACGCGTTATGTTGTGCGGTTGCCGGTCGGTTTAATTGTACAAATTATTCACCAAATTGCCAACGTTTTTCTACAGTGTTGTTTGTGACTGTACATTTTTTTGTGCTCAATACTCGGTTTGTCGTGATTCATGCCGACTGGCTAATAATACATACTGAGTCAACGCATTGTATATATTTGCCGCATTATGTATTCTTAGAAAACGGAATTAAGAACGGTACACCAGTCATGTAACAGTCCGTTCGAAGGTTTTCTATAACACCTACACAACTACGTAACTTCTCATAAATAATAGAATCAAAAACAACGATCACTGCCCACTGATATTCGTGATCGCCGGTGTTTCGTCAATAATCAAACTGTTTGAAAAATAGAATTAGAAAAATACCTGCCAAGTACGAGTACGTACGGCAATTACACTATAAATAAAATTTTATTCGAAGTATACGGATGAAAAAATGCCGGTCATATGGTATTGACCATTCATTGGTTTGTGTTTATTCGGTGAAATAAATACCATAATTATTAAACTATTCAATATAAATGCCGGTTAACTGCAAATTACCTGTTAAATAAGTCAAAAAATAAAGCAACGAAGATTATATAAAAGACAATTTTTTCGCAAAGAAAATAAATAAATCAAAATTGCATAAAAATAAAAAAAAGATATATAAGCAAATTAGAAAGATAAGTGATGCAAAAAAAAATAAATCTGAAAAGAATTAAAGTAAATCAGAGAAACGAAGCGATTTTTATTTTTGCATCTGTTTCGTATCGCTGAAGGATTAAACGCCGGTCAGAAAACACTCGAGCGGTGCGCATAATGCAGCCAGGTGAATTTAATTTCCGGTTGCAGCTCATTGCCGACAGCTGCAGTATACGGATATAAGACACGCGTGACGTCAGCGGGCGGAGCCAGCAATCTTCCTTACATTTCGATTTAAGCTGTGGAAAATCAGCGAGCAGATAAGAGCGGCGCTAGGAAAAAAGGTTGGTCGGCTACTGATCAATCATGCAGTGCTTCTACATACGAAGAGTATTAACGCAGTTGCCGAGAGCGAGCGAAATCGATGCAGCAGCCAGCAGCTCGTTATAGCACGCATGAACGCACCGCGCTTCCATCAACTGCAAATCATACACAGCCGATATCGGCGCTGGTACACTCGTTAAGCTGGCTGTTGCGGATGACGCATAGCGACAGGCAGTTCGAATCCATATCAAGCCACAGCGACAGCCGCAATGATAAGGCAGAATGGCTGCTATCGCCAATCGAGCTGCCGATGCAACGAACAGCATGGCAACGGCAGACTACGCTGCTCTGTGTACACGTTCTACAGCCGCTATTAATCAGACCGTCCGATCGTAAATGAGGTCTCCTCCGAGCACACTCACGCAGACAACTATAGTGCAGTAGCAGCTTTTTCTTTCTCTCCACTGGTGTGCCGAATCTCCAATCAATTGATTTATTTATTATTCAATCGGAAAAATGACTCGACAGCAGCCGTTTATCGATCTTTGCCGTGCACGTAACCACCCATGTGCGACACCATACAGCACCGTCTTTATCTGCTTAGCACCGCATGCACACGATTAACGGCTCCGAGGAGAACTAGACACCGACCCGGCTCTAATCATTGACCAATCAGAAGCCGACTTCAGTTAACACCGCTGTTTTGATACTAAATCCAATAAAACGTTCGTTCTAAAATTCCGTTCCAGAACACGATATTAATTTTTAATTAACCAGAGCTTATAACTATTTTAAGCAAATTATTCTCCACTAGAATAGAATTTTACGTAATGTAGGGAGTGGGCACATTCATTTGTGGAAATGACTGTAGCTACAAGGAGTAATTTAAGCGCAGAGTACAATTACAATATTTCAAAAATCATGATCTTTATTAAGAAATGCACCGCTGTTTTATTTTTGTATTTTGTTAAAGTAATTCTGTCGTGGATTGCAAAAACATTGTCATTGGTATAAATTCAGTAGAGGTGACTGCCACCGCGTGTTGTTATTCTTTTGCACGGCTGTCACTATCGCATACCGCCCGTAGACGGCGATACCGTACTCGCAGATATTTACCACTAGACAGCCGCAAAATTCTACCATTGGCCGACGATTAGCTGGAGGCGTGGCTTGGGTATAACCCGTCGGTCTACGGCGCGCGTTTACCCGGTTGATCAGTGGTTTATCTCGATAAACTCAACGCGCAGATAGGCGAGGAAATGATAGTGCTGTGCATGTGTTGTGCTGGTCTTACCTCCATTGGCGGAGAACCAGGACGGCTGTGTTCAACGCAGCGCCCCTGATCGAGCGAATACTCCTTTCTACCTTGTGATATCTGGCAAATTCTCACTTTTATCATTACTCTTATCACACTCACTCAACATTACCGTGTCATACGGTTAAGCGACGATGAAGCGCAGTCGTCGTGCGATTCCCTTGAGCCAGACGGAACTCCTGCCTGGCCACGATGCGGACGACATGCAGACGGCCTACCTGGCTAATCTCTCCAACCGGACCCTGGGTTTCGGCCGGAACAAGGTGAGGCAACGATGGGCATTGTTCGTCGACTGATAAGTGTCTGTATGGTGTGTTGGGGGAATTTTTCTTATCGATTTATCATGACGTGAAATGACAGTGCAGACAGCTGCTGCGCTGATAGTGCTCATGTTTTCGCTGGCGTTTTCTCGATAAGGATTCCAATTTTCCGTTCACTTTTATCGTGTTTTGACAGCCAACAGATGTGGCTTTGTTGTTTTGATTTTTCTGTGTTTTTGTCACTTTGTCTGGTGTGTCAGCTGAATTATTTTGGTCGCGGGGAAAGTAGGTTAGGGTTGTGTGGCGGACTGCGGCCCGGTGGCGCACGCCGTGGCGACAGGTGTTTGCCACTGTTCCTCCGTAAATTCGGCGTTTGACTGTACTTCTCTGTACGCAGGCGCTCCAATAACAGCGCTTTGTACAGGGAGTAAGTGATTAGATTCTTGTTTTTTGCGGAAACTTTTCCTTAGTAAATGTGGCGCTTGACGGTAGTTTCCTGTAGGCGGTTACACTAATATGGTTTTATGTACAGGGTGTTGATAATTCGGTTTTTGTTTTTCGTGAATAATAGATGAAAAATATGAGTTCGAAGTAAAAAGTGTATTTTTGGGTCATCGCGTGCATGCTGCGGACGAGTGTAGCGTGCTGGGATGACGTTGGTAAAACAAGTGTTTTTGAGACTTTCCAGCTGGTTAGGAAAAATCAATATGCTCTCCCAGGTATGTTAGCTTTCGCTGTTGAAAAGTTGTTGAGTTGATTACGAGGAATATTAACGCCCGCGGTCTTTTCCCTTGAAAAAGCGGCATTTGAGTGATTTATTTATTTTTCTTTGTGTATTTACGATTATTAACCACTGGACAAACTAAATATCAACGCATTAATAAAAAAAGCGGAAACAGAAACATTTATTTAAAAGAAATAGAAGTAGTAAGACAGTAAAATTACAAATAATAAAAAAAATAAGTAAATAATAAAAAACAAAGAAAATTTAAAATACGAAACAGTTTTTTTGAAAAATCTCAAACTTAATAGCAACAAAAATTATTAAAACCGGTTAGAAAATTGTTCTGGTGAAACGTAATAAAAAAAAATATATTTCACAGGAATAGAAACTAAAACAGAGAAATGAAAAACAAACAATACTTACGTAAATAATTTCGCAAAAATCCTGTTTTATATTACCTATCCTATCCTATTTTATATTATCTATTTTATTTTATATTTAGTGAAAAATAAATGAAAAATAGGGTAAATAAAACTTGAAAGGGAAAAATATATGAAAAATGAAATGAAAATGGAATAAATTGCAGTTTGCCAGTTCGTCCGGCGTGCCGTCGACCAGCGGGCCGCCGCCGGCCACCCTGACCTTTGAGAAGCTGCTGGCGGCCATCACCCCGCCCCCGGAGCTCCTCCCGAGCCAGTGGAAATCCGCCCTGGACCTCCAGACCCGCACCGTCTACTTCTACAAGGTAGACCTGGAGGGCGACGCCCTGCGCATCACCAAATCCATCCGCATCCGCTGCCGGGAGGCGGCGTGGCCGCGGCCCCTGGGGCAGCGCAGCAGCGCCCTCCTGATCCCCTCCCTGTACATCGGGGAGATGAAACTGCATCCCTCCTGCGCCACCATCATCCTGGGCCACGAGGAGATCCGCACGGAGGAGGACCTGATGAAGCTGCTGCACCATGTGGACTTTTGCCCGCAGAGTCTGGCCACCCCGCCGGCGGGGAGTCGGAGGCGGGCGGGGGACGGTATTCGCCGGTGGAGGCGGCGCGGGCGGACGAGCCGCTGCAGCTGACCACCGGGCCGCGCGGGCGGTACGCGCGGGTGGCGCACAGTCCCGGGGGGTCCTCGGGGTCGCCGGTCAGTCCGCCCGGGGGGTCCGTGTACAAGCACGAGGCCGCCGAGGAGTCGGGCGACAGCGGGGATGAGGAGAAACCGGTTAATTTGCAGGTAATTACGAAATCCACAACATCGTGTTAAATAAAAAAATGCATCAGCAATTAAACTTCAAATTGATCGAATTATTATGAGATAAATGATTTAAAATAATATAGAACAAAAATAAAATAATTTTAAGATTAAAAACAATTTTAAAGTTTATAATTTTTAATTATAACTTCAAATTTAATTTTTTATAATTTGTAAATAACTTTTTATTTTAACAATAAATAAATTAATTTAAAATAGAAGTTTGAGTATAAATTAGTTTTGAAAATTTTTTAGGTTAATTACAATAGAAACCTGCCAAAAGTTGATGTACAAGCCCATCCAACAATTCTTTGACCGCTGTAAGCGCAGCGCATATAAATCGCGCACAGTAATGTAAATACGCATCGTAGTGTAGTGGCAGATATATTTATAAATATTCAACCAATAATAATATATTAGATCACAATTAATAGACCATTATTAGACCAACGTGGAATCAATCATCTTTTGCCCGGGCATGTTGCAGTCAGTAATTTGAAAGTAATATGGATATTAAGTACCACCGCGATGTTGTATTGCAAAGCAATTAAAGATAATACTGTTACAAAAGCATAAAATTAATATAAAAATTGTGATGGCAATAAATCATGCTAAACATATTATATTGTATATCACAGATACAGTAACTGCAACACATGCAGATTTGTTGCTTATTTGCGCTGAATACGCAGACCCATGTGGCGTGACGTGTCGAAGCACATTAAATGGCTCAAGCCCACGTTTCTTTAAATTCCCGCTTACAGCGGTCAAAGAATTGTTGGATGGGCTTGTATAAACATACGGTATAGTGTAATCCATTTCATAAAATTTGCGTAAAAAATATTAAAAATAAGAAAAAAATATTTGAAAAATGTTATATTTATTTTGGTAGTTGAAGTCGACGCTGCCGTATCCGTACACGTGCGCCAACTGTCACGTGGACACGACGACGCTGTGGCGGCGCGACCAGAACGGGAATCCGGTGTGTAACGCCTGCGGACTGTACTTCCGCATGTACGGGGTGGGTGTGAGTTGATTAATTCATATTTAATTCTGGGAAAATGCCGGCGTCTTGTGGTGGAGGAATTAACGCTGTCTGAACATAGGTGGCGCGGCCGGCGACGATGCGGCGCGACAATATCCGCACGCGGACCTCCAAGAGCCGGCTGGGCGTGTACGTCGTCAAGCCGGAGCATCCCGAGCACGGCGGCGGCGGCGGTGGTGGCTACCACCCGCAGCTGGCGGTTGAATCGCCCCAAGCGCCGCTGCAGCCGTCGATGCTGCGCCGCGAATGGCAGCTGGACACCGAGCCCGAGGAGGAGGCCCCCGCCCCCGAAAGGGGCTCGCGACGGGTACATTATGGCCTAATAAATAAATTAATAATTTTTCTATTTAACTAATATTATTGGAATTATTAACAGTATTATAAATTATAATTGTTATATAAATTATAAATTTTTTTATTTTTAATAGTAATATAAATTATTTTTAATTTTTATAATTGATTTTTTAGGCTAACTGAATAATATCAGAGTAATTATGAATTACCAAAATCAGTTATTTTTTATTATTATTAAGGATGCAATTATAAATCAGTAATTAATAATCGTGTAAATTCTAATTTGTACGATTTGTTTTTTTTGGGGATAAATTAAACATAACATATTTAATTATTAAAATAAATTGTTTTTTTGTTATTATTATTATTCTTGCAGGCGAACGTGGTGCGGGACGACCAGGTGTGCAGCAACTGCTCCACGCGCAACACCATTTTATGGCGCCGCAACGCCGACGGGATGCGGGTGTGTAACGCCTGCGCTCTCTACGCCAAACTCCACGGGGTGCGTTGCATGTGTTGCTGTTCATAGTTTTCTTGTTATATAATATTTTTATTTAATTGTATTGCCGTCTGTTGAATTTTTTATCTATCCCCTAATTTTTTACGCTGGTTGTGGTGTAGTGCAGCTCTGTATTGCGGTCATAATCGTAGAGAAGCGGCTTAACTCTGGGAGATAACGGGTGATTGGTCGGCTCGTGGCTTTAACGAGAATACCGTGAAAAATTCCTGCCTTTTTTTCCTAGGAATATTATTACATTTTCAAAAACTAATGCTGCTTTATAATATCGAATGAATCTATGGTAACATATTGCGCAGACGCCGCGTCCGCCGGATTTGTGGCGCGAGGAGATCCTCAAGCGGAAGCAGAAGCAGAAGACGCCGCATCGCGGCATCAAGAAGAACAGCAACGGCGCCATCAAACGCAAACTGGCCGCCAAACCCCCCGGTAACCCGCCACGCACCAGAATTTTCAATAATTATCCAGGAATTATTTTTCTATATTTTTACCAGTTTTCTCGTAATTTTTGCATAATTGATGCGTATAACCAACAATTCTTTCTCTATTTCTATTAGTTTGTTATAAGTTTTTGTACAATTAATGCATAATTAACCAACAATTTCTTTCTATTTTCTTACCAATCATTTCTTAATTTTTTGTACAATTAATTCGTAAAAACTACTATTTTTCAGTAATTTTCTGTTAATTTTTTACAGTTAATGCATAAATTAACCAACAGTTCCGTTTTATTTTCTTATCCACCATTTATTATTTTTTGTCCAGTTAATGCATAATAACTACCAATTTTTTCTATGTATTGTTATTAATTTTCTGTTAATTTATTATAGTTAATGCGGATTTAGTTAGTGATTTTTCTTATATTTTCCTGAATTTTCTTATAATTTTCCTTATAATTCATGCGTTTTTTTTTGTAGACACGAGCGACACGAAACCACCATCCTGGACCGCCACCGCCGACGCGTCGCCCCCCGCCCCCCTGGGAGCGGACCCCCCGTCGCCCCTGGACGACGCCGCCCACGTGCGGCTGGCCTCCATGATCGTCGACCTGCGCCGCGACAAATCCGCCTCGCCGACCGCCTCCTCGGAGGAGGACGCGCCCCTGACCGAGGCCCCGCCCAGCCACGCCCCTTTAACCGCCGTCTGACCGCCCCCGGGGGCCTACCTTAAAAAGACTCGGTGCCTAGTCGCCTGGATGACCTCACTTCCGGTCCGCGTTGGTTTCGTCGACTCTCCGCCGCATTGTTTAATCAGCACGCAATCTCCGCCGAATCTTCTCACTTTCTGACGAATTTCGAATCTGTTTCGCATCCTGTTTAATCTCCGTTCACTCCGGCGTGGTGTGATCCCCATGTTTAATCTCGCAGTGCAATAAAATAACGCTATTTTCTAATTAAACGCAATTTCTCCATTTCTGTCTGGGTTTTTTTCTTTTTTTTTCGTCGTCTGTTTTTCGTCGAATTCTTTTTCGTTGCAGTATTTTGTTGCCTGGTGTCTGCCGGTTTTTATTTTTGTGGCAGTTTTGGTGTGTGTGACGTGTGCGATTTCGGATTTGAGTTTTCTTTTCATTTTTCGATTTTTTTCCGTTTTCGTAGGTTTGCAGCCAGTGCACGTTTGTCGGTTGCTGACGTTTTTCAAGTTTGCAAGTAAAAACGAAATGACAGCGAATTGGGCGGAAGCCATTGCGACAGACGTTACGCCATTTTTTAAAAAAATCGATTTAATTTTATTCACCGCCCAATTTTGGTAATCAATTAAAGAAAATCACGGAATATTCAATGCGGAAAATATCGGAAATATACTGTACACGTATTGGGCGGATGCCATAGCGACACAACTTGACCACTATTTAATATAAGGAATTCTTGAATTACATTTTATTTCCACGTCTTGGGCGGTTAGCATAGCGACTCGTGCAGCAAATCGCCTTTTTTTGGTTTCATGTTGGCCGCGTTTGCACCAGGCAAGAACACAAGCCCGAAAAATCAGAAAAACTGCCAAAAAACTGGAAAAAAGTCCCGAAACTTCCACGAAAAATCCAGAAAAATTCCCCGAAAAATCCAAAAAACTTCCCCAAAAAATACAGAAAAAATTGCCAAAAATTCGGAAAAATCAGGAAAAAATGCGGAAAATTCCCCAAAAAATGGGGTCTTTTATCGTCGACCGAAGCTGCCGAATCCGCCCATCCCGCCGTATGAGCCCATGCCGCCCATGCCCCCCAACCCGCCCATCCCTCCCATTCCGCCTAATCCACCCATTCCGCCGTATCCGCCCATTCCTCCCATCCCGCCCAATCCCCCTAGGCCCCCGTATCCGCCGCCCATGCCGCCGAGCCCCCCGAAGGCCCCGCCGTAGCCGCTGCCCAGTCCGCCGTAGGTGGAGCCGAAGCCGTCGCCCATGCCGCCGTACATGTTGCCGTACATGTTGGCGCTGGACCCGTACAGTCCCCCGTAACCGCCCAGGGCGCTGCCGCCGCTCCCGTACATCCCGCCCAGGTTAGACCCGAAGCCGCCCAACAGACCGTTGCCGTAATTGCCCACGCCGCTGCCGCCGTAGAGGGAGGAGTACGGACCCAGACCGCCGCCGCTGAAGCCGCTGCCGCCGTACATGCTCGGATAATAGTCGAAACCCGTCCTACCAACGCAGAATAAATACAAATTAATTTCAAAATAATAATAAAAAAACCCAGAGAAATAATGTTATAAAAATAAAATACAGTACTTCGAAGTATATAAAAACAGTAATTACACCATAACGAAAACATAACCTTAAATGATTTATTATGACAAGAAATCATCGAAAAGTTTTCATTTATATAATCTACATAACCGTTTTATTACTTCACACAAATGATTATGATTAACAAACATACAGAAATAATTCAACACATATAAATAAATTTTTTCGGTATTTTCCAAATAAATAATATGCAATAGATTGCTTCTACTACCGGTATCTACACAGTAATTAATTCAGAAATTAAATAAGGAAGAACTACGTACAGTATATGCGTTCGGTAAATCCGCAACATATATGTATCATAATAATTAATTTATGGAAGATTTTTCTCTGTTAGAATGCAGACACTTACGAGCCGAGGGAAGAGGAGGAGATGGCTAAGGCGCCGGATAAAAGTAACGACACAACGCCGAGTCGGCACAGCATCTACACCAAATATCACAAACGTTAAATGGAATCAAATAATTTCCACAGTACACGTAAAAGTTTTAAAAAATAGTTTCCACAAATAAAACCAATAAAATTAATATATACGCGTACAGCAGCCATTAAAATTAGAATAAATAAAAAATACATAAATAAAAATTAATTTTCACTTAACTTACTTTTGTCAGTTCAGGGAGCAATAATCCAAAAACGAACAGCAAACCAGGAAAGCGAAGGTGACCGGAAGAAGAGCCCGAAAAGTGTATAAAAATTATAGCTCAAACCGAAGATTAAATCGTCTAATAACGGACGACTATCGAATAATAATTGTACAAGTAAATAAGCGTCTTTACTGCGAAGAAGCGCTGTATATTATAAATTATTGTATCGGATGATCTGTGTGTGTGTGTGTGATGTGGGTCAGCGGCACGACAATCACGACCGTTGGAGAATACAACCGAACGCCGCTTCCGTTGCCATTGGTCGGCCGGCTGTTACTCTTACAACGCACGCTCGTCCGTGGCCCGCTTTTCCTCCGAAATTCACCGTAAATTCAATAAATCGGGCGAATTATTCGGCAATTTTCACATGTATAATGATGTATTTATTTAAACCAGGCCGCTACGCGCCATTCACACCGACAACTCAATACTCCGCCGCAAAAATGCTCAAGATAAAGGCGAATGAAGCGCCGATCACGGCGCAACAGGATCTTCGTCTTCCACTTCATCCTGGTCGCTGGCGACGGCCGCCGCCGGGCGCCGGAAGTGGGTGTGGACGGTGTATAATGCTCGGCGGTTCTTTACCGGACAGTGCGGATTCTGGCCCAACTGCAGGGCGTACGTGGCCACCGCCTCCCGGGAGAGGAGGGCGTGAACACGTGGGAAGGTGGCCGCGCTGGATTTCAGGAGATTCCGCTGCACGGCGTTGCGCAGAAACATCCTGTTCATCAACAAAAAAAGGCCTAAATTACCCGCTGAATTGATGGAACACTGAATTCACTCATTTTAACAAACAATTTACGGCTGCAAAAGAATGAAAGTCAAGTGTGCTAAATATAACTGTATGATGAAAACTGCAAAACACAAAAGGAAATATAGGTTCATAGGTCAAAAATAATTAAAAATCAACAAGAATAAACAATTTACAAAATATAAGCTAATTTTTGCGTGTTAAAAAATTCTAAAATTTTACAGTAAATCGTTAAAATTGAACAACTGGAATTAAATTGTTAAATCAATAAGAAGCAAAATAAAAAAAACACATTCAAAATTTTTTTAATTGATCACTAGATTCGAAGCAAAATAAACAGAATGATAATATCCGTACAAAATTAATAAAAATTATAAAAACCACCAGCACTATCGATAGAAGTAAGAAAATCAAAATTATAAAAATCAATAGCACTATCGATAGAAGGATAGAAATTACAGAAACGCGCGCGGCATAAACATAAAAACTGCACTGACGTGTCGGCATCCAGAAGGACATCACAGAACACCCGGAACAGCCCGTCGACACACTCCCGCCTGGCGTCGCCGGCGGTGGCGTCCTCCTCGCCATCCTCCGTCAGCGTCGCTTCCAGCTCGGTGAGGAAGATCTCCGTGAGGAAATTCTGCAGACCTTCCGCACACACGCCGCTCTCGCCCGACAGCACGTTCTGCCGCAGCACCAGCCACACGTGCTCCGTCCACCGACTGCTCCAGCCCGTCTCCCGCAGCCACACCACCATCCCACGGAACATCCGCCGCGTCAACTGTGCCAGGAAAATCCTCACAATTTATTTATTGATAATTCTCTTATTCATATAATTCTGTTTATTTTTCCACAGTGTTTTATTTACATGTATTCATTTAAGCATTTGTTTTTAGTTCTAATAATAAGTACTAAAACATACGAAAAAGAAATACACTAATGAGGAAATTAATAATAAATAAACACTAACAAAAACCCAAATGAAAATAATAATATGAAAGATATAATTCAGAAATTATTCATAATTTTGGTACCTAACTGGTGATTATTATGGATGAAAAAAAAACCAAGAAACTGGTCGGGAATTTTACCATGAGGAATTTATCCAGTCGGAAGCGGTCGATGCGGGAATATTCCCGGCTGATGGTCAGGAAGAAGGCGTCCAGGAATTTCACCGCGCTGAGCTTGTGCGCCGCGAAGCATTTCAGCAGACTCACCATTTTATCCGCCAGCTCTTCCTGCAACACAACACATCATCGCCTGAATTACTAGAAGTATACCTTGCAAAACAAGCCAAACCTATATCGATTGAATCGTTAAGTATTTTCAATTACAGTAACATTTTGGCCAATTTTCAAACACGCCGTCACTCGTCAGCTGCCAGCTGCAACGAGCTGTCATTAAAAACTTTTAAACTAGAATTACTAGATAAAAATTATGAATTTTTTTACTATTTTTATTTACAGAAATTTCGGATTTATCTAGTACAGAACACTAAGAACAGGCTAAAACTGTAAAATAATAACATAAATAAATGATAAATTACTGTACTGATTTTTGGTATTTCCCCATGAAAAATTAAGTAAAAAAATTTGGGCTGGACCGGTCACCGATTGTTGTTATTGCGAAGACGAGAAAAATACTGAAACGCCTTACATGAACGAGCGGTTTATCGGCCATCCACAGGCAATAATACAATCCCTTCCACAGCACCATCAACTCGTTCTTGGAGAATCCTACGAAAATCACCAATAAACCAGCTGCTCCGCCACTAAAACGCTCTGAACTTTTGACTGACGTTTTCCCTGCTGGCACTGCGACTGCAGCCAGCGGAAGAGATTGCGCATGGCCCGATCGCGCTGCAGTTTCTCGTTGGCGGCCAGCTTCTTGGCGAAATCCAGCTCCACCGCCAGCGAACCCAGCTGCAGCTCATCGATCTGGTTCTTGGATTTCTTCGGGTGCCGCGGATTCGGCGTGCCTGCAACATCCTCCGGCTGCTTCCGCTTTTTACCCATCTCACTAGATTTCATGTTACTTTCAGCGTATTATGAAAAAAGAAGTTGTAAATATGAAAAAGGTAAAATAAGAGCGTTTATCGGTCTATGAAACTGACAGCTTATTGAAATGAGACAGCCTGAAAAACATGTTCATTCACGTTGAAAATACCGCTACCACGCTGCACGACGCAAGGCGGTCGCGCGAACCGCAAGTGTCGCATACACCGACCGCCCTGTGATACAGTAGGTGCCCAGCTTGACTTTTGTGCGCACTGCGCGCTTCCGTCAACAGGAAACTTGAAATTTTCATTTCGTCGCATTCTTCTTTTCCGACTTTCCATCGCTTTCCTGATATTTCCTCCCATCAGAGCGGTATTGATTATTGTCGAGTGCTGATTATTGTCTCCTTGGGATGGTGTCGGTGGTACGGAGGAGGTTGGGAGACTGTTCAGACTGAGCTAGCACACCGATCAGTGGAGGCTGGCGTTGCAGTGTTGATTTCGTTGTTGACGGGGACATGGCAGGTGCGGAGTCGTTAACACTCCCGTTGTCCCAGCCGTCTAGTTCCAGTGCCTCTCCCCCGCGTGACGCCGCCATTTGGACCGAAGCGCGCACTCCCAACGGCAAGGTACGTCCCTCTCGGTTGTTGTTTGCGTTCTCCGTACTGGCGTTGGTGACTTTGCCATCAAAAGGGGTTCTTCACGAATCACGTTATTAACCAGCATTTTATCGTAACTAGTTGTTAGAGTTTTTCTAAATTTTCCCTTAAAAATATTCTTGCGGCCTTGCCTGTATATGTCCCAAGTTGCTCAGTTGTTCAGCCAATTTTTTCCTGAGAATCTCAACTGAGTTATTTAGTGACTTGGACCAAGTCACTAAATAACTCACTTGGTCCCTTTGATTTTGATAGCCTGTAATTTGTACAATTAATTTTCTAGCGCGGCATTTTGTGTTGATTTTTTGTAGAGATGTTTTTAATGCTGAATTAATGTCGCTTGTGCAGTTTGCCGATTTGCAGTCCTGCACTGATGCATGTTTTTTTGCAAAATTATTTTTAGAATTTTTAAAAAAAATTGTTTCTGGTTTTTTTATCGACTACTTTTAACTCGTGTTTTTAATATTTTTAGATTTAGTTTTCTTCAGATTTCTAACCAAATTCTTATTTTCTTAACGCTGCAGTGATGTGCTGTATTTTCTTTTAATGGGCAACAGCCAATGCACATATCGGTATGCTTCCGCAGGTTTACACTAATTAAAATGATTAAATTTTAATTAAATGATTAATTTATGTTTTTAAAATGAGTAATTTATGTTTTTATGTAATTTTGTGCAGGTATATTTTTGCAAGTACATTCTGGCGGAGACGGCCTGGAGTCTCCCCGTGGGCGCCCGCGTCTACACCCCCCAGGCGCCCCCCTCCCCCGCCCTCCCTCCGGACCCGGTCCACCCCCCGCCCCTCCCCATCCCCGCGGCGGCGGTGACCCGCGATCTGTCCGGCAGCAGCAGCGACAGCGTGCAGATCGTCTCCACCAAACGCCCCCTGCCCGCCTCCTCCCCGGCCTCCTCCCTCTCCCCGCCCGCGGCGGCCGCGGTCCCGCCGCGCAAGAAATGCCGCGTGCCCTGGCGCCAGAAGCGGATGGGCCCCTCCGACACGGCGGAGATTGATCTGTACGGCAACCGGCCGTCCGACTACCGGATGGGCAGCTCGCAGACCATCGTCCTGCACGCGTCTGATTCGGAATCTGAGCCGGAGAATGCGGCGGAGGGCAGCGGGTCCGGGAGTGGGGATGGGAAGGAGCCAAAGGGGTTTGTCAGTCCCCCGGCGTCGCAGCGCAAGCGGCCCCTGCAGACCAATACCTGCAAAGTCTGCCAGCGGGTAAATTATTCAATTCTTTTTAATAATTATTTTGCATTTAATTTTGAATAATTGAATTTAAAATGAATTAATTTAATTTGAGAATCGAGTTTTTCAATTAATATTTGTGAATACAAAAAGCATTATATTTAGTATTTTCAGATTAGAATTTAATCATTGAACTGTTGGAATTTTTGAATATTTGTTTTCAATTTTAACCATTAATATTATGAATCTGCTATAGCTCAGTTTTTTAATATTATGAATTTGCTATATTCGCTATTAAATTTTTCTGAATAAACGGATAATAGCGCTTATTTTTTAGAAATTTAATTTATTATCGAAAGATTGGTTTTTCTGGAATTAAAAGTTGCTTCACTGAAGCCTAATCTTGGCCTCTTAAATAAATATTAAATAAAAATTCGTTTGTTAAAAAATTTAAAACAAATCTGGTTTACGGATTTTTGGCAGACAAGGAACAAAAATTAAATTAGACAAAATCGAAATTTTGCGGTTTTTGCAGTATTGGCGCAACGAAGACGAGCGTTTGCCGGGCCAGTTGGCGACGAAGCACGTGGCCTCCTGCAAGATCCACGGCAACAAGCGCCGACCGCCCAACACGCCGGAGAACTTTTGGAAGCAGGCGCAGTTGACGCCGCCCAAGAATCCCGTCAAACCGCCCGTCTACGAGTACGAGAAGCGCCAATACCGCAAACGCAACTCCTGAACGCTGATTTCTGCATGGCACTGTTTTCGACAGTATTACTAACCTTTTTGCTCAAACCACTGGATCGTTGATTTCTCCTGCATTTTTTTTATTTTACTGGTATTTTCTCGCGTCGTTTGTTTTGATTCTGATCCGTAGAAACTGGACAGTTGTTGGTGATTTTATCGGGGAAGTGGGCGCGGCTTAATCCGCAGTAGTAATAATTAATTGCCATTTAATATAAATTAATTATTATTGGTAGTAAATTATGGAAATTTTATTCGGAAATTTATTGCTGCGTTATTCATGTTGTTTTCTGGGATATTGGATATAATAACGACGAAACTGGTGGATGGTTACGGATTTTTATTAGCAGCTTGTAATTAAAACCGTCTATGGAAAATAGTCAGTCTGTTAAATACAATAATAAAATAATTAATTTTTGTTTCTTATAAAATAATATCATTTATTGGCAGTAATAATGGGCATTTATTGGGAAATTAATTGCAGAATTTATTTTTCCCATATTAAATTTGATTTAAAATTACGGAAGAAATCAATTGTAAAATAAGTATAAAAATAATAAAACAATTATGAAAAATCCATAATAATTTTATAAAAAGGCACTAAAAATTCTTTTGACTACATCCAAAAAATTTCTGGCGGCCAAAACCTGAACAAATTCAATAATATCAGCAATAATAAAAAACCTAAAAATTCTGGAAAAAAATTCGAAAAAAATCCTGAAAAATACATTCTTAACGACGAAATCGTTTTGATGGTTCGCAAATTTAATTTCCGCTGGTATGCAGCAGTCATCATGTAAATAAAGTCATCTATGGAAAACAAATGGGTCAATCTGTAAAATATTCAAAAGCTGAGAGAGAGAGAGGAAAAAAAACCGGAGAAGTACAACAGAAGAAATTCCGCTGGGTGAAAATGACAAAAAACAGCAATTAATTCCTAAATCTGCCAAGCTAAGTAAATCACAAGGAAAAAGCATCACATCACGCGTCCGTGGCTTCCCGCTCGCTGCGCTCGTCAACCGCAACCGCCCGCATATACAACAAAGCCTATTACAATTTCAGCAAGAACAAAGCGGCGATGAAAATTAATCATAAATTTCTAACAGCGTGTGAAGTCAGGTCGGCGATGAAAACGGATGATGGGGGGCTGGCGACGTTCTGCACTAGAAAAACTATGTAGAAACCACAACAAGATAATCCCGGATCCTCAGCGGAAACGATTCTTCAAATCCTTCAGCGTCTTCGCCATCATCGGCGCTGCACACACAATAACAAATCAATATACTAATTTATTCTGAATTTTTTATACATTTATTTAGGTAATTCCATTTTTATTGTCACCGTTATTTCTGTACTAAAGTTCCCATTTTTTTCCAAAAAAGTTAACTATTTTATTATTAAAGTTAATTTAAAATATTTTACACTAATTCGAAGGACTTCAGATAAACTGATAAATTATTAGTAAATGCTAAATTAATAATGATTAAAACAAAAAATAATTAAATTAAAATCTGGTATATATTTGGCTATAGAAATGCCTGTTGATTTCCGGTATAATAATCTTTTAATTTTATTCAGCTTCCATTTACCGGCTTTATTTTCGTTACTCTACTGTTTATTTTATTTATAGTTGTTTCTTTACGAGAACGTCTTTTTAGTTGTACAGATTCAGCTTTTATATTTTTTTTGGCTATTTATTTGAACAGATTGTATTTCAACTACTTTATGAATTATTCGGTTCATTTTTTTATTTTCTAAAATTCTTAATAGCGGTAAATAATAAAAATAAAGCAAATTAAATTTTTAAAATAAACTGAGTGAGTTTATTTGTTTACCTGATTTTTTGCCGGTGGAGGCGGACGAGGAGGTCCGGGCCCCGCCCCCTCCGCCGCTCGAGGTGCCGGCCGAGCCCCAGCCGCGGTTGCGGGCGGGCGCGGGCGGCACGGGCATGGAGCGGATGGCGGCGCGCGCCTGCGAGGTCTGCGCCAGGCGGGTGAAGCGCGGACCGCCCTTGCGCAGCAGCGACCCGTCCAGCACCGCCACCTTCGTCTGCCGCACTGCACAACACACACCAATCAATCCAAATGAACATTTTCATGCAATTGCAATTGCACACGCACCTGGCGCCGCGCGGGCCTCCGTGTTGGCCTTGATCTTCGTCCGCAGTTCCTGCAGTTTACTCTCGCGCTCGTTCAGCTTCCTCTGCAACAACACCAACAGTCAGAAAATAATACTAGAAACGCGCTATAACAAAAATACAACATTTAATATTCAAAAACGAAACATCCCATGAAAACTTAGAAAATACCGAAAAAATCAATCATAAAAGATGAGAAAAAAATACAGGTAAGTAAAGTTATAGTATACTATATAAAATCAACAGAAACAAAACTCCTTAATAAATTAAAAAGTACTGGAAAAAATCCTTATAAAACAGCACTACGTGCAATGAATTAATTCTGTTGCAGGGCATCTATGTGTAAAACTGACCTTCGTACTGAAGCCCGTGCACTACGTTATATTAACCATAAATAATAACAATAAGAAATCCGTAATGATTCAGAAAACAGGGGGAAATGCAATAATTAAAATAGCGATGAGAATACTTAAAATTCTGCAGATCATTTCAAGGAATTCTGGCGATAAGTATTGGAAGAAATTCCCGTATGTTGCAAGAGAGAACGGTTGCTGAAAGCGGCCAGCTTACCGCGTACAGATCGCGCCAGCACTCGTCCTCGTCGTCCAGTTCGGCGGCACGGAAGTCCTTCTCGCAGTGCTTGATCCACAGCTCGTCGGCGTCCTCGACGAGATGCGGGTTGTGGTGCTCCAGCGTGCGCAGCTGCGGGGCCGTGCAGGCCTCCAGCACCGGCTTGATCACGTGGTACGGCACCGGGCCCATCTCCTCGATTTCTAAGCACACACGCATGTTCACCAACGTTCAGCGGATGTCAAAACAGCCACTACCGCCGCTCACCGTCAATGTGATCCATCAGGACGCGGATGCAGAGGTCCACCAGTTTCGGTACTGCAACCAAAACCTCCTTTTTTATTTCCTTTCGTCAACAAAAACAACAGCACAAAAAACAAAGCAAGAAAAGTTTTCAATTAATAAAAATTCATCGTTTTAAATCAACGCAAAACTCTAAAAAAAATCGATCAGTTTAATATATTTAACGAACAGGTGGCAAGAAAACACTAGTACAAAAATCTTAATTAAAAAAATTGCAGAAAACCCAAATTTTAAAGCCTGAAATGAATAAAAGTCCAATTAAATTGAGCAAGTAATCCCGGAGCAACTGCAGATACTTGTGTGTTTATTCGGTCGGTTGAATAAATAAATTAAATTCACAGGAACGCAATAAACAAACGATCAGCCTAAGAAAACTGAGAGAAAAATTAAATTTTCGCGTTACATATTAAACCTAATTTAATATGTAATTAAATAATTTTTCAGTTTAAATTTTTCTGCCAACTGGTTATTTATTTGATTTATTTTACAGGAAATTCTTTTATTTTTCAACGACCGACCTTGAACGAAGGCCCGCTGACGGGCGCGGCCCGAGAAGACCTGCGTGCGGCCTTTGCGCGAGGTAATGGCGTAGGCGTCGACGGGGCTGACGGCGGCCAGGGCCGGCGCCGGACCGCTGCCGGCGTAGCCGTCGGCGGCGCTGGACAGCAGACTGCTGATGTCGGGGTCGTCCAGACACGGCAGCTTGGCCAGCGATTCGTCCAGGGCCGATGAGGGGGAGGGGGCGCGCTTGCGGGAGGAGGAGGCGCTGCTGCTGGCCGGGGGACTGCGGCGCTCCGGCGGGCGGGGCGCGGCGGCGGCCACCGGCACCGAGATGGACTTCCACTTGATGATCAGGTCGCGCGCCGCCCCGCCCACCTCGTCCGGACGCTTCCGCAGCCCGTTGACCACCTTCCCGATGCCCGTCTCCTGAAAACACACCATGCATTCGCCCAGGAATAAGGTTGAATACAGTCGTTGTATACATATTAATATTATTATTAATCTGCAGTATAATTATCTGTGTTATTTTATTACTGTAGCCGCCCGCACAAGTTGCCCCACAGAGTGAGGTATACGGATATTTGGCCTCACATTGCTCGCTGTTCAGCGCAGTGTGTGCAGGGAGAAGGCAGCGGCCGGATCCGCCAATGGAGCAACTTGTGCGGGCGGCTACAGTACACTTCTGTCCATGTTCATTTGTATTTATTTTGTTCGATCAATATTTGCATTGTTTTTGTTATGCAGTTATTTCTTATCATAATGGGAGTGTCTAAGTTTAGATAAAGCAAGATAGCTGTTAATGGATACACCATTCTGATACGAATAATAATATCTGATATCAGCGCAAAACCCTGAACAGGCAGTGCTGCCACTGTGAGCACGCATTAAAATTTAAACTTTCCAGTTTTTACTTTTTTATTTGCTTCTCAAACACGAGTAAATCATGTTTTTCTCCTTTTGGTGCAAAGGGTAAATTAGCAAGATAAGTTCCAATATCAATCGCAATAGCTGAATAAATCCTTTTAAATAGGAAAATTTTTATCCGTATTACATAATATGATAATCTAATAATTAATACCAGTACCAATCTATCACACTGGCACCACCAAAGACACGTTAAATTCCTAGGAAAAAATGCTGAAATAAAATCAGCAAAATTCTGCGTCATCCAGTACCTGGCCTGTATAATTTTCTCAAAATTGTTTTGACTCGGTTAATGCCAAATGATCATAAATCAATAAAATCATAAAGCAAATACGCAGCACTGAATCCTATGGTAACAACCCCAACACAGGGATCTGCTGAACAACATGATGAAACTCACCTTCAAGCAGAAGACGCTCATCTCCAGCTCATCCAGCCCCGAGAGGACCTTCAGCATCTGCAAAGGGACACGTGCAGCATGTCGCGAACCAGTGGCTGATGCAGAAAGCCTATAAGGCTAAACATGTTGAAACACGTTCAAACATGCTGACCTTGTGCTGGTCGTCGTTCTCGGCGTAGCGCTCCAGTTTGCGCTTGAGATACTCCACATCGGCCAGCAGATCGTGCTCCTCCATTCCAGTGGATCCAGGCGCAACGTTGAAGAGGGAATCAACAGGCAGTAATCCAACCACAGCGCCCTCACGACGTCATCGCTCCCCTTTGCAGTGATTTCTTATCAGGCACAGGCTGTTTCGCGGATGATGAAATACACGGTTCCGTGGATAAAACGAATCTTCAAGGTATCTATGACGTCAGTGAACTGGTTGGTGGTCGGTTAACGGATGTCAGAGGGTGAGAAATCGAGAAATCGGAAATGAAATCGCGACCAACGAACGACGTGCTCTGCTTGATTACACACAGCAGTCAGTCAGTCACAGACAGACGCAGCAAATTGCCAGGGCAGACTGCGCACACATTTGCAGTTGGCAACTTTGCCCTGCGCAGCATGCGGCTGACGCCACGTGGCCGCCGCCCGTATGTCGATCGACGCGTTTTCGTTACGAGTACTGCATGCAGCTAGCGGGGGAAAGTTACGTGCTGACAAACCGTTAGTGAGCACTGAACAGTGCATGGTTTTCGTTTTGGCTAAGGCTATTTTGCCGCAGTATTCTACAGTGTGTCAAAATAGCCTTTTGCTATTTTGCCGCACACTGCGCTACAATAGCCTCTCGCTATTTTGCCGCATTATGCGCGGCACAATAGCCATTTGCTATTTTACCGCACACTGCGTTATAATAGCCTTTTGCTATTTTGCCGCAGTGTACTCGGTGTTACGGCTCGTACAGATAGCAAAAGTGCTGTGCTGCGGCCACTTATTAACACTCCCACTGTTGGCTGCCGATTCGGCAAGTGAAACCGCTATGTAGCCCGTAACGTTCATGATCGTTCTCCTCATGGTTGACCTGCATTCCTGTAAAAACCGATTACCTTTTACATATAATTTCATTTATGATTCAAAAACATTTCCAAAGTGAAAATTTCAAACGAAGAAAATTCGAGAACTTCCGACGGTGGAAGCAATCACAACCGCCCGGTGAGGCAACGCAATGCAGTTTTCATCTTGCAAATTTTTACAAATTCCCGTTTTTCTTCTTTGATTCCGTTCACAAAAACTGTTTTTTCTGTCTTCGTTCGGTTAAGAAAATAAGAATAAGTGGTGAAGAATCATTTCCAGTTGAAAATTTGCCGACTGGGAACCCTACTGGCGCGAAATCACAATGTCTGCCTGTACGGCACCTAGGAATATTTCAATATGCAACGTCAATCGAACGTGGAATAGTGCGAGTGTTAAATTGCCTAAGTAATAAGCTTTAGCGACTATCGCAGTGAGATATAGATTGCCGCAGTACATAGTTTATTGTTAATTTTTGCGGCCGTCTCCTGAACCGCAAAAGACGTGTAATATAGGACGAACCACCACCAGAAGTAATCGCATCCAAGCATCGCGGCTAACTAGTCCGGTGTCGCCTGCACACAAAAACGGTGTGGTGGCTGGCCCGTCCTTTCTGCATATCCGGTGCAGTACACTGTACAGCAGGGGGTGATGGCAAACGCCGTTTTTCCGCCAATTCCGGCGATCTTCGTGTAGTATCCGAGCGGTTCCGTCTTCAGGTTGTTCTCTTTGCAGAACTACGGGACGATAAGCGAGGTCATGGCTCCGGGTTTCAGCGTCGCTTTGTCAGTGTTGTTTCCGATCATTAGCTCGCGTGTCCGGGCCGGCACTGCAATCGCTGGACGATGCTGAATCGGGCCCGGTATGGGCACCGGTCGCACAACCGTCTTCAACGGTATCAGCGACACTTTGCCAGGTAGGTTCTTCATCCGCTAGCGGCCGGTCTATCCGCCGTTTGACTTCCCCATCTGACCAATGCAAATCTCTTCTACCGGTCGCATGGTCACGCTCCTTGGGGCCCGTTATCGTTCCGCCCGTGCTGCCGAATAAGGTCGGACGAAGCCATACGTACGATCTGCTACATCCCAATTGGCTCGCTACCGAGCGGTCGGGAATCTCGTTTCGGTTGGATAGTGTACCGGTCGTCCGTGCTGTCCAACGCGGCCTCGGCAGCAGAGCTACCTGGCCAACCAGCGCAAACGGTTGCTGCTCAGGCACAATCATGCTGCCCGGCGCTCTGTGCTGCACGTGCGTACTGGTGCTGCCCGGCGTTGTGCTAGTCCATCCCGTTGTAGTTATGTTTGGCGGGTTTTGCGAAGGTCGTCGGCCGAGTTAACCGCCTGGATTTACTGTTCCCCGACATGCCTATTGGCAGGGAACCGTTCCGATATGAGTCCATCGCTCATAATTCCGCTCCAACCAGTTGATATACTCGTCCGTCGCCTCCGGTCCCGACCGTCGTGACGCGCCCGGTCGATTTGGACTACCCGTGCCCAACGGATTGCAGACTTTCTGAGTTTTTCCGTTCCCTCTTCACTGGCCGGCCCAGTTTGGGCGAGTTGGCCTTTGCCAAGGCCACCACGGCCGCCTATTATGCAGCCACCACCTGGCAGGCCTTAGTTCCCTTGGTAGCCCTTGGCTTTCGCCGTATCCTTCGCCGCTGCTACGTTAGCCCACGTGCAGGTCGGCTCGTTTGCTGGTGAAAATAGATCGGTGCGAGTCGTCCGAACGGCTGCGTTCTACGAGTCCCGCTCTTTGCGGCTAAATTCCTCGTATCCGGATCCCCGGCTACGTACCGCGGACGTACAGGTATTCATCCAGCATTTCTGGTCACGTCGTAAAACTGCTCTGGCGTCTTGAATCCCTGTCGGTACCGCCGGCCGTTGACCTCGGCCAGAGGTTAATGTACTTCTTCCGATCGGCGTTTATGGCCACAAACTTGGCCAGACGTCGAATGGCCAGCCGTCCTTCAGTTTAGCCGCTGCTGGCTGCTGGTACCAGTCCGCCGCGTTTCCGGTGGAATCTGGATTAGTTAATGCTGTTCGGCCGATTGACCAGTATCAGCGCTCGCCCGAACAACTGCGATTCGCTGATATTGTGTCGACTCCGGATCGGTTCGACCACTTAGTCGGTTTTCGGTTTCGGGCGGCATCAGTCCAGTTGTCCCGCCTGACGGTACCTTCTGCCGTTTCCGACGTGCCGACGCGTGTTGACTTCTTGGCCTCTTGGTTCTGACTGCATCGCTCAGGGCGCATCTGCGACCCTTCCGTCGAGACGTCCACTTCTTCTGGGTTTGGCTTGTACGCCTTACATCCGCGGCTCGTCCGATCGTGTCGATACTGGGACTGTTCTTCCGTCAAATCCTCCGACTGTGCTTCTCCGGCACTACGCCGGCCAACCAATTTGTATTGGCGACGAGGGTCCTCCTTGGTGTCGGTCGTCGTAATCGTGCTGACGTCTAATGAAAGACCTATCCAGAATTAGTGGGGTACTATCCACACTGACCGACCACGCCACAATCGGTAGAGCACTCTTGGGATCACAAACTGTTAGGGAAAGTTTTAGATGGTAGTACTGATCTGGTTAAGGAAGAAAGGAAAGGAAAAAGAAGAGGTCCGGATCCAGGAATCCCTGCTGCAAACACGAGAAAACACCAGACGAAGAAGAGCATACGTTACCTGACTTCACGCTAGATGTTAGCAAAAGCGGTACAAGAGCAATCCATCAACCTAGTAATATAGGGCATGAAGACCGAAGAGACCTAAAGGTCACGGACCAGAAGGGTCACGGGATGCAATTGGGAGCTAGTGGGTAACCTGTTACGCCACGAGACTATCCGAAGATGGTAATGCATGTCGACGAAGTAGAGGAAAAACACCTGACATAGGTGAAAGGCCGCCAAGAGGTCAGTTAGCAAGAGTCCTCACTTGGAAAGAGTAAACCAGGGCAAAAGTCTGAAGTTAATCAGGTCGTGAACAAGTCACTACTTTTGTTGGAAGAAAACTCTTGACATTTGTATGGGCGATGAGCGCCTTTTATAGTCTTGGGCACGCGCAGGTGCGACTCTTCGTACGCGCAGGTACGGTTCTGAGAACAATAGGGATTTAGAATCTAGACAATGCTCTACGATCACATACACGTGGACTAGCCAAAGGTCGCATCAATACAGCATTAACTAATCAGTCAGCTAGTACAACAGAACAATAGGTAAAGCTACGCCATCTAGTCGCGGTCACGTCGAAATGGCAAGTCGTGGTCAAAGTTCTCTGCTGGGACTTTTTCAGAAGCATCGACTCGGAGTCGGGGTCATGACTCGAGTAGTCGTTGTATTAAAGCCTACGCCTAAGCCTCGGGGTAAAAGCAGTAGAGTAGTACCGATGTGGACGGGGCTAGTACGCCCGAACACGTCAGTGCACACCGCTGTCCGGCTGGCGCTTCCCGACGGATCCCGTTGATGTTGGCCTTAGGTTCACGCCGGCGTCGGCAACTGCACCGTGTGTTCGGGTCGGCAGTGTTCGTACTCTGGCTATCGTAGACCGCGGCCCCCTGCGGCTGCTAATCCCCTACAGCTGGCTGCTGTGCCGAACCGAGTTCTCCTCCAGCTAGACCGGGCTAATGTCCAGTAAAAGCGGTCGACTGTTCCTCCAAGCCGTGTTGCATGACGGCCTGCTGACAGACTGGGACGAGCAGCTGTCGAGTCCAAACCCTTGTTTTGTTGGCTGTGCCGGCGGGAATAGCTAAAGGCTATTTTACCGCAAATACTGCGGCAAAATAGCCACTTCGTTTCGTTTTTCGATCTACTAAATTGCCGTTTTTCTTTTTTTCTGGTTTCTTTTCGGACGTTTTTCTGGTTTTCGTTTTTCGATCTACTAAATTGCCAAATAGAAAATTACTTTATTGTGTGTATCATGAACCCTTTATTTCTGCGTGCTTGAGCTTCTGGGACTTGGTGCAACGGGTCTAGTAACTTGTTGAAAGAGATCGGGAAAAAGTTATGCAACAGAACGGGAGATATGTCCGCTCCACTTGTTACTTTATCTACGCGCCAATGCAATTTGTGTGTGATTTAACCTAATAATGCCCGGTGTTTTGTCGTTTTGGAAACTGCTGTTTCTTCTCAAGCGAACTGGAATGGATTTCTTATCCAGATGGTGTCTTTACAGGCGTTGACATTTGTAAACGTACTGAATAAAGTTGAATAAATAAACGTACTGAATAAAGTTGAATAAACTCAGTAAAGCTCCATAATCCATTCAGCGCTGTACTTAAAAGTTAAAGCCCAAGTATATCGGAAATGACAATACGGCTGACCTTTTAATTTTCAACCGCAACCGTCGCTAACCATAAATTAATAGGCAGACAGACTGACCGTTTCCGGCCTTTCCATCTTAGCCAAAAACACATTTTAACCACATGCAGCTGGCAAAACAAATTAAATTTAATCAGAAGAAACAACTAAGAACGTACTTAATACATACATAGACATACATGGTACAGGTACTGTATTTACACAA